AAGTTCATTTTTGAAAATTAAAAAGAATTGTCATCATTGATGATATACCACAATTGAAAAACCTGCCATGTCATTGGTCCCAAAGAAGAAGAATCACAGGTCATTTTGACTTAGTGGCCATCTTGAAAAGTGAAAATGTCATCAGAAAAATATGAATTTCAACAAAGGTAACGCACAACAGTGTCCAAGACTGTGAAAAATATGTTTTCTGCAACTGGCAAAATTAAATACCAATTGGGAGTATATATGAGGACTTAATGACCAGAAACCTCAAGAGTGTATGAGTGCTACAAAAGATTCAAATCTGGAAGGGAATCTGAGACATATAATCCAACACATCTGATATGGCTGTGCGCTCAGCCAGAATGACTCTCGTTTGTGAATCAAGTCATGATATGCGTGTCAATTGTGATACCATAAATGATGACAATTTTTTTAATTTTAAAGAATCCGCCCTAATTTTTGCTTAATTTCGGACAATTTTGAAGTATTTATGAAAGCCTGACACTTATTAACACTTCATATAAAAAACTACTATTTTGTATTTCATGTTTATCGCGTTGCCGAACCTGCTCCACCAATCATACCCCTGGGTTACTATAGCAACCGTATCATTAAGTCTATTTGGTCTCATGATATAAAACTTTCCCAACTTATTTACAACATATTTGGACACATTTTGTCAAAAATTCAGCTAGATTGAAAAGAAAACCACTAAAATACAGCATCATTCCTGAAACATATGGAACACCCTGTATGTTTGAAAAATCAAACGGTAACGGTAAATTGGAAAATATGTAATATATATATGAGCAACATTAAATATTGAGAGTAGGCACAACATGTGAGATAAGTCCTCTAAAGACCTTCATCACATTTCTTGTCATCTATAGAAAGTTAATGATTCAAGGAACATTAAAAAAGTTATGAATAGAATACTGTCAGATATAAAATTAAAAATCTTCAACTGTGAATAACTTGACAAATAGAACACCAAAATAGAACCTGGCTTTTTACCATAATTCATTAGATTTGAAAGGTTGATGTCCCTTTGTACAGTAATCATCCGGTCCCTGGATAAACATGTAGTGAGGGTTGTCTCAAAAGTACATCCTATGAGTATCCTATGTCTTCTGTTTAGAGGATGCAAATGTTTTGCACTAAATTCAAAAGTCTAAATGAAATATTTAAGATAATCGGAATCAACATTTAGCAAAGTTCATTTATCTTTCATTCAAATAATACAACATATCACACATTTATCGTTTGCCATGCTGTACTTTTCAAAAATTGAATTGTATTTTTGTAGTTGTGTTCTAGTTTTACTTAACTTTTGTATACAAGCGTATTGTACTCTGTAGTGACTAATATTTCATTGTTATGACATGAGAGAGTCAATTAAAGATATGACTGTACCTTGAAAACAATGGCAATTGCTTCCATTATATTCATCAATGTGTAGGATAAATCTCGATTTTGTAAAGTGTGAAAGTCATTATTGCAATTCTTAAAGTCTGATGAAATTTTCTACAATTTTACGTTGTAGCAACTGACATATTCCATTAGTGTGATTATTATGTCACTGTCATATTCCAGACTCTCTGATTGGTCCATGTCATGTGACTTCCATTGAATATGAAATGATATTCACCCGTCACAATTTAGTCCCGTGAAATTTTAATTTTTATATAGCCCCAGGAGTACATTGTTATCCCATCGAACGAAGTTCGGAGGGATATAGGGAACGCCTCCGTCCGTCCGTCCGTACGTACGTCCGTCCGTACGTACGTCCGTCCTTCCGTACGTCCGTCTGTCCGTCCGTCCGGGCAATAACTCAAATACCGTTGGCCCGATTTTATTCATATTTTGTACACATATACCCTATGGGGGTAGAAGTTCTGCTCGAGAGCCGATTTTCAAAATGGCCGCTCATTTAAAAATGGCGGCCATTTTAGTGCCGATTTTACAGTAATTTAGGTGCAATATGTAAAACTGTAATAGCAATATGTTTTTAATGAAAAAAAAATTATATAGGACATTAATAAAGCTAGAAATGTAGATATTAAAAAAGCACATGGCAGCCATCTTGAAAAATGGCGGCCTTTACTCGTTATTTTACGATTTTTGCTGTAACTCTGAAAGTAGTGGAGCGATTTTGTTCATATTTGGTATGTGAATACTATAAGCATGGCACACTGTCTAATGACACTTTTGGTAGAAGGCGGCCATTTTGAAAAATGGCGGACATTTTGAAAAATGGCGGCCATTTTAACTTATTTTACTATAACTCTAAAAGTAGTAGAGCGATTTTGTTCATATTTGGTATGTGAATATGTATAAGCATGGCACACTGTCTAATGACACTTTTGGTAGAAGGCGGCCATTTTTCAAAATGGCCGCCATTTTAATGTATTTTACTATAACTCGAAAAGTAGTGGAGCGATTTTGTTCATATTTGGTATGTGAATACTATAAGCATGGCACACTGTCTAATGAGACTTTTGGTAGAAGGCGGCCATTTTTCAAAATGGCCACCATTTTAACGTATTTTACTATAACTCGAAAAGTAGTAGAGCGATTTTGTTCATATTTGGTATGTGAATATTATAAGCATGGCACACTGTCTAATGACACTTTTGGTAGAAGGTGCCCATTTTGAAAAATGTTCGATGGGATTCGCTACGCTTTGGCGTTGCCGTTGTTCTGGTTATGATTATGATTAATTAGATATCAATAGTATGTTATTCCATTAATATGAATGAGGAATATAACAGTGAATTATAAATAAATATTTAAATTTATTTTCAGTGAATACCTGTGACACTTTCACAAGATGATATTCCACAAGCCCTTCGGCCTTCTTGGAATATCTCTTGTGAAAGATGAACAGGTATACACCTCGTATATACCTAGCAAAGCATTTGTATAGAATTCATGATGTCACATTTCATTTCCATCAAATTCTACTTGCACACAGAAGTGTGACATCATTTGTCCAAAGTAACCATGTGAATAAAGGTACTAAATACATCAGTTATGTCACTATGACATATTTCACGTAATAGTGACATAACCTCTAATTGCATGGTTATACAATAAAACATGATTCATATATCCAAAATCTCCCTGAAACGTGAACCTATGTGGAGATACAATTGATAGCCAATCAGATTGTAGAGACACAAGGCGCCCTTCAAGTCATTATCCTTTCCAGGCACCACCCTTTCAATTCATGATCTAAGATTTGAATGGGTGTTATGTCAAATGTTTAAAAGTACATGTGATTATACATGTAAGATGCAAAAAGTTCATCTTTTTATGAAAGATGCATGTATACTGAGACTAATGTATTGCAACATGTATTGATTTTTCATGTTCATGTCATGGGATATAAAAAGAGATTTTTGATATTTGTAGCTTTATTACAGGTATGTGCAAGGGGCCACATCAAAAGATCACAATTTTATTTTTCTTTGCAACTTGTTACAAAGACTGTGATATTTAAACCTTACCAAACATTTGAGTTAATTTACCCTTCACTCAATTTTTAAGGCTTCAACCCTCTTAAATATAATACGTTTTATGAAGAATTACAAATTAATATTTGATATGGTCCCTAATACCTCTTACCTTTATTGTTTTGTGTCATACTTGTTAATCAAGCAAATGGGAATATTACATGGGGATTTGAAATACAATATAAAGCTGATCCTATAATGTTTCTAATGAACACCTCCCCAGTAAACATCTTTATCTTTGGCACCTAGACAACCTAGAATGGAAACTAAATGGTTTATTATGTCATCACCACAAGTGGTGACATATTGTGTAGTCTCCAACTTTTTTTGTGGAGGCTGTTTGGCAGATGTAACAAATGTGAGGTGTTGAAATTTTGCTTGTTTATGCCTTGTTGATGCTTGTAGCTGCAAAGATAGATATGTCTTCATACATAGCTAGGCAAGGTGTGTCCAATTTCAGCCAGTCCGAACAAAGAATTTCATATAACTGCACTGCATTATATAGCCAACAAACCACCCAAGGTCACTTGTTGAGTGGTTGTCATGGTGACAACTTGACTCTACAGATTGAAATTATCACGATAATGTGTGAAAAGAATTTAAGCCCAAGACTTAATCCTTTGTGGCTGATTCATTCCACTCAGGCCTTGTTTCCTAAACTTACCAATCGATTATGCATATCTTGTGCAAATATTGAAATAACACCTTTTTGAGGAATGATCAGTTCAGTGCACTTTGTCTAGGGCTTAAATCCTTAAACCTTATTCAATCAAAAGTGAATATTTGTCATCCTTAGTCCAAGAGTACTTCACATATGTTCATAGCTCAGCGAAGGCTGATCTTGAAATATGAATATTTTCTGTCAACTCTGAAAATGGTGAAAATTGTTGTAGTGATAATTCTCTGAAGGCTGTGTAATCCCTCCATCAAACACTGTATATATACATAGGAAAACTCAAGAGGATTCCATCATTTTTGATAAAGTTCCAAGAATAGAGGGTAGCGTTTTTGTGATTCACCCTGTATTTATTTATACTCTTGACCACCATTTGCCATGTTAATACAATGGTATTTTAGGGTTGGTAGTTTTCATGGTCAACATTGACTACCAAATCCAATTTGCCATAGTAATTCTAACCAATGGACTGTTGGAAGTAATAGATTTTACAATGAAAAGTGTTTTATTTGTTGATCAAAAATCTGAACTTTTGCTGGTAATCTGAGAAATTCAGATATTTGTACTTTTTTTGAAAGTCACTTTTTTAAAAATGTCTCAAACTATGTTTTAGTCATGATGATTGTATTTGGATGTTTAAACAACATATTTGCAATTTGCATCACCTTCAAAGGAATTTTTCAAAATTTTTCTTGAGGAGAAAAAAGTTTCCTCAAAAACAGCAGATTGTGTATTCAACATCGAAAATATGTTTGTTCATTTGTGCATTTTATTAATCATATGATATTTTTTTTGTATTTTTACAGCTGATGGCCAGGAAGAGGTGACATTGATGCAGGCTAAGCATGAGGTAGGTTTATATCAAATTTTTGTCACATTCCCCCCGCCTTTGAAAAGATCTGTCCTCATTCTTAATCAGGGCGAGGTCAGGGAATTTTGAATTGAAAATGTGCTAGGGTCAACCGTATTAATTTCACATTAGACCATATAAATGAATAAAAAATGATTAAAATAGAAATAAAAAATAATGAAATCCCTTGTAAAAAACCATGTACTATGAATAACTCTTTTTGGATTAATAATGTTTTGTTTTGTTTTGCTGGCCTCTTTCTCAATTTATACGTTGTGTAATAGACATATTTAATCTAGTTCATAGAGATATATGAGATAAAACTCATTAGCTCTCTTTCTCTGTTAAACCTGTATATTTCAAAGTAATATGATCTTATGTTTTTGAAGAAGTATCATTTTACAAAATGAATTGTATATATATATATACTGTATCAACGATGAATTACAAAATTACAATTATTAAAGCAAGGACTTGGTAAGGTGATATTACCAATTCCACTATGTGGGAGATGCCTCCCATGTACAAATGACGTCAAGAATTGCAAAACAAAATTACTCGTTCATTTCTTATATAAATATGTTTGAGTAATTGATATAAATAGTTGCATCTTTCTCTTGTAGCTAGTTATTATCAGATGCATTTAGGATCTACTTAAAAGACAGATGTATGATTTAAAAAGACGTAAGATCAATCAAAGACTTTTCCCTGCCATTTTTGATATGGCGTTACCAAAGCTCTTGCCTTTGGGTTAGTCAAGTCTTAAATGATTAGAGTACAAATCAAACAGGTTATACAAAGTCGATCTGTCTTATCTCATTAAAGAAATAAGACTGATCCGGGAGTTTTCAATATGAAATGTGACACAATTATTAATCTTATTGAACTCGACTTGCAGAGAATTCCTATGAAAGATTTCTCTGCGGAAGTCAGAGCCACGCTAGATGTGGAAAAATTCATCAACCAGAAGGAAGTATGTTTTGTGGACATACATGAGACGAATCTTGAAGCCATTATGAAAACACTCACTCACAAGCTTATAGACTTAGAGGAGCCTGATTGTACAGAGGAGGATGTCATATCAGCACTGTTCACACATGACTCAGGTATGTCACATTATTCAATTATATGTCACATTATTCTGTCGTATGTCACATTATCTAATTGTATGTCACTTCATGTTCAACCGTATTAATTTATTTCTCTCCAATTTAAATGTGTGATGTATTGTTGAAGCACACAATCTGATTTTTCTCTCTTAATTTTTTTGCTTTTGTATGAAATCCACGAAATCTGCAAGTGTAGCTATTAAGGAAAAGAAATGGAGATTCTATAGTTAATGGTTTTGCTCAACGTTAAAAGTTGGAAATTGCGGTAAAGCATTTTTTCCATAAATCATAGAATCAAGGTCTTTGTTACGATTCTTATTTTATAGTAGCATTCCATTTCCTAAATTTTTCTAATTCAAATTATTTCAATCAGAAAATTTCACAATGTTATGGACATTTTATTCGCCGGATTCCTCTGCATAAATAAATTGAATGAACCATCAATAATGAAGCTGATACAGGGGCGGAGCTGAAAACTAACAAGGGGGACCAAAATTCAAGTCTGAAGAAAATCCTGAAATATATTTTAGGCCCTTAAAACCTAAAATTTGGCCCAAATGAAAATTTAAGGCCTGTTTTCTTGATAATTTGGACTATAATTAATAAAAGGCTCAGAGGGGACTAGCCTGGCCTAATCCGCCAGTGTGATATCACATATAAGTTGGTTGGTGTTGAGCAAATTGATCAGTCCTCTTTGAAAAGCTCAATGAAAGTGTTGTCTCCTTCTTTACAGCCTTCCATACATATTTACTGGTCTATAATGAAAATTATTTGTCATACATACCCCATCATAGACAAGTAAATCAATTAATCAATTGTTCTAGTAATTGTGACATCGCATATTTATATATTAGAATAAGCAGAACTGGCACATTGTTAATTATTCCTTGCCCTTATTTCTCTAATAGTGACATATCCATGAAAGATAGTATTAATGCTTTTATTAATGCTTTTCATATTTATAATATTGATATGATTAAGAGACAAAGACCTATGACTAAGGAAAGTGACACTCTTTGATAATATTCATCAATAGCCCTGCTACAAAAATACATTCAGATCAAGTTATAAGAAATATGAACAAAAAGGATGCAAAATCAATACTGCGCCTCTTGTTATTATGTACTGTATATGGCGTTAAATACTTTGTTAAAAATGTTGCATGCAACTTTTTATTATGTGCTGTTCTTGCTAAAATTCTGATGTGCAATTGTTGATACATTGCGATTAGGGAGGCATAATTTTTTATTGTACGAATTTACTATAAACTAACCGTCAGAAATATTTTGAAATACACTTACTTTATTATCGGAATCTTATTTTGATGGTAATTCATGAAAATCATCCTTATTCAAGAACAAAACGGAATAGGGGAAGAACTTGTTTCCTGATAATCTAATTTATAGAATTCTTGTAATGTTACTTCATTGCTTTCTGTCACTTTCGACAAATAGGTTGATTAAAGAGTAAATAGCATGCAAGTTGAATCAGGCAATTTTGTCGACTGTATTTTAGTTCATACTGATACTTGTATATACAGTAATTATAATAATTGTTGGGGAGAGCCACAGGAACTGTATGTTAGGTATGAATAATAGTGTCTTTGATGTTTGAGTTTCCACATTTTTGGCATTGATCATCGATTATATCACAGCTTTTTGATTAAGTTATCAATTGCCATTCATTTTCCAGCGACTCCATACAGAGGAGGTAAGGGTTAGATAAAAAATATCCAGTCTTGTGAAGTAGTCGAATTGAATATCTTATGTTGCAAATAAATAATAGTGTTGTGTCTCTAGAATAACCTCTACAGTATTTAGGTATCATTTAATCTTGTATTTAGTCCCTGTGAGACCCCCACCCACCATTTTCTATAACAGTAGGTTTGGAAACAGATGTGGGATGTGACCAGAGGCTAGATGCAAGACTAGGTATCAGTTATATCTCCACATATATAGTACCACTGATACTAGTTTCTACACAGACATTGTCATTTACCTAAAGTAGGACATCCTCTAGGAACCTCCTCACATATTTTTTTGAACACAAATCATAATTATTGCGATTTAGAGAATGCCTTCTGTCATGATACAATGTCTTGTGACGTTTTCAAAAGTGTTTGCCCTTTTTGGGAGCGATTTTGTTGGTATTTTTTAAGAAACCACATGCAGGGAAAACGCATTAATATTTGGCAGTTCATCTAGTATGGTGGACATTTCGAGAAATACTGACTGGCAGTCTTGTTTGAGGCTTTATAAGTTGCCATTATGTAGTATAACTGATGAAAAGTAAAAGTTTGATTTGTGGAGGGTTAAAATCCTTTTTTGTAAATCTAAATAATATTATTCACAGATATGTAATTATATTATTTAGGTTATTCATTATTATTAATATCAATTATGTATAATTACATGATTTGGGTGGATATAGAGAAAACATTAAGTTTGATTTGGTTTTAGATGAATTGATATGTTTCTTTATTCACCTTATCATTGTTATTATATTCAGAATATTTAGTGTAAACAGTATATGTTATGATATAGTTGTTTTTTGTTAAATATTGTATGATACATAAAGTGTTATTTTGTGGTATTTAGCATAAATATAAATAATGAAATCCTTTTTAATATTCAAAAAACCTGTAGAAAGACATTTAGATTTGAATGCACCATTAATAAGTTTTTAATTGAATTAATTAATCATAGATTGCATTCCGCTAATTCAGTTATGCGTTTGTTTTTTGAAATATCACATTCATATCGAGTTCTTTTTCAATTGCTTGTTTTCTGTCATGATTCACAGTCGCTTATCCTTTTTCCACAGCTGTGGTATCAGAACCTATCTTTTACCTATCAGTGCACCAATATGAAACTGAACTTTGGATTTGATTTCTTTATGTCTGATACTTAGCAGTAGTGGTAGCATAATGAATTCTAGGAGGAAGCACAAGTGCTTTGTGTGTCATTATTTCTCTTGAAAATTTATATTTTGTAGATTTAATTTTGTAAAGATGACCCGGTGGTCCTAATTCTACTTGTTTAAAAACTTTTTACCTATACATGTATTAGCTTTACATCCCTGTGTTCAACGGTTTGAAAAAATTGTAAAATACAGATTTTATTGTTAATATATTTTAAGAATCAGTGACCCAGTAAGCATATGAAATATTTCATTCAGTATTTTGAATCATCATTTTTATAACCTGATGATATAAAAGGTGCTTGCCTTTACTATGAAAGAGAATCTGACATTGAAAAAATATAACTATGATTTATCATTTATATCAAATGTATGTGTAGTGTTTAAAAGAAGATGTATAAGAGATTCAGTTATAGAGATATTTTGGCATAAAAAAGAATCAAGGACAGTTTAATAAACATGTACTAGTATATAGCATATTTTTGCTATATTTAGAAATGATTCATTCATTTTGGAAATAAACATTTCTGAAAACTTTCCTGAACCCATAATAATTGAAACAATTGTACATCAAACTGCTAGAGAATAATGAATCATGAAATGCATAAAAATTCTCAAACTTCCAAACCCCTTCTCCCCCTCCCATACATATCGACATCGTTCTATTTGTTGTGTATTCTACTTTCCAGTTCGACAGTTGTCAAAGACGATCCAAGGAACCAGTTCTAGTGATGGAGGTTTTGATTACGACCAGTCTTGGATATGTGCCATGTATGTATTTTTACCTCTTTGAGTGTAGCTAACTATGACGTAGGCGAGGCAATTGGTTAGCCTCACTAAAATGTTACATATTTGTAAGACATAAAATATGAAAATCTATATGTTTTCTCAATGATAAATCAAAAGTTAAAAAGTACTTTTTAATTCTGTAATTTCAACGTTATGCAATACTTCAAATAAATTGTTTCCTGATTTGAGTCAAATATATAAAATATTCTGCAAGAGAAGGTCTGTATTTCATGAGGCACTAGTCTGTAAAATACATCCTTTCAAGTGAACAAATTCCCTACTTTACAAGAAATTATAAATAATGGTGTTTTTCAATGATTTCAAGGTGCACCCTTCCTGCCTTAGCGACCAGGCATGTTGCCATAGGAAGACTGAAAACACCAGCAAACTTTGGCCGATCATGTCAAGAGGTTGTGTTTGTGATTCTGGTCCTTGCTCCAACAAAAGAGGTTTGTAAGATAACTCCATTGGTAATGGTCATCCATTGAATATTGACCACTAGAAATATGGATGCATGTTACAAAGGAAACTGTAGGGCTTTTGGTATTGCCCACATGGTTAAGATTCATTGGACTGCCTTTTAGGGTGGATTTAGTGGGAGATTGCTTGCAATGATTTGATAATAGAATGCATGATCATCTTCGCCTATGATCTTCTTATGATCCTTTTACTTCTGACCATTTATATTATATACATAATTTCCATGATTAGAGAAAAGTCATTACCTCACCAGGATAAACCAGAGAATTTAAGAACTTGAGAATTTTGAGAAGTCGGGCAATGTGAAGTGAGTGAAGTTTGAAAAGTTGAAAATTGGACAACTAGCTTAAATAAGTAGAATTTAAATGAAAAATACTAGAATCCCATAGATATGAGGGTATAAAAGTTCCAATGATTTTAATGGCCTCCATTCATGGCTATCCCAAATCTAAAAAGTGAATAATTCTTTATCTGATATCCTACTTTACAGAAAGGCACAAAAACTGGTTTAGAAACTGGAAGAACTTTTGCCACAATATTCGCAGATATGGAATTCCGTCAAAATCTTCTTGACGCTAAACAAGAAGACTTCAAAGAACTGCTAGTAAGGCATACCAAGGAGCTGGCTGGAGAACAGGGAAACCCGAGCAAGAAGGCGCTGTCCAGTCACAATCCTTTTGAACAAGAGGTGGGTGCTTTTTACCAGGCCCGTAGCCAGGATTTGCCAAGGGGGGTTCACTTTTTGAAAAATTCCAGGGGGGTTTCACTTGTGACAATTTTGGTCCAATATGGTCGAAATCACTTAAAAAGTGCTCAGAATGGTGAAAGACTGCATAATTTTGAAAGATCTTTTGGCCAGGGGGGTTTCCCTCGAATCCATCCAATCACCCCTGGCTATGGGCCTGTTTACAATATGCATGTACAGGTTTTTTAATTATTCTTTCCTGCATTAATATAACTATAATTCTATAAAAAATTTATAAAGTATTTAAATGGTCAGTATGTGTATTTTATACGATAACTCGCACATTTTAATAGATAGCATTATCATACACATTTAGTTTTAATGCAATTCTGTAATGCAGAACAAAAACTAGAACATTTGATAAGCATATAGAAAATGTATTACTCCACTCAAATTTACTGATTATTTACATTGAAATTCAAATATTTCAGCCTGGGGGTGCGTGTAATATTGGGCAAGGTCTTCTAGCTGACATCAGACGGAGAGCTCCACATTACTGGTCAGATTACAAAGATGGTGAGTTTATCATTGAAACAATCATCATTTTAATGAAGTGCAGAGAAGCACATCGGAACCACAACCTATGCAGCCTTGTTGATTTGGGGATGCATTTAGAGATGTTTCTCAATATTTTGTCAATAACAGACTTTAATTTGGAATGAGATGCACCAATTATAAATCCACTACAGTTTCTTAGTAAACAGCAAAGTTCTATGAATGTTGTGTTTTAACACATTTACAAATAATGTCAATGTCAATTATAAAATACATTGTACTTTGAATAAAATATAATGTTGTATTAGGTTATGTTTTTACGAGGAAATGGCTATCAATATATTTTGTACCTCATACCCTAATTTTTTGTCTTAATGTTAATAAAAAGGAATAAAATGTATCCCAAATTTCAGGTGTGATTGGTCCAAAGGCTCTGTCTAAGTTGGCCTCAACCACCATGTTCCTGTATGTAGCATGTCTCTTACCTGATATTGCTTTAGGTGTACTCAACTATAACAACACTCATGGGAAACTAGGTAATAAAAGCACAAACTCTGTTCACAGTACAATCAGTACACATATAGTTATTAATCTCTCTAGAGGTTGATTGATCAAATTCTATAGTATATTAAGATCATATTCGATAGGCTATAGTTAATGTTTGCCTGATGAAATTATAAAGAAAGCAAACTTAAAATATGATATGATTGTCACTTTTAGGAGAATTCCCTCTGAAAGAAAATGTAAAGATATTTGTACTGTCAAATATTTTTAATCTATATTGCATTATATGGTATACTGTTAAGGTTATTTACAGCTTACCGATCAGAGAACTGATTATTTTGTATTTAACTGGAGATTACATCATGAAAAACTGAAGTGGTGTTTCCCCAAACACACATTCCCATCTGATAATTTTCTAGTTATGCGTAAAGGGGATGACAAACTGATCACATCAAATTTTACATCAATGAAAAAAGTTTAAAAATCATTATTGATTTTCGATGTTAACGTTATGTGAATGTGAGAAATACATGTATTATATATGTTGTATTTAGATGTGAAGAAGGTGATTGTATCTCAGACATTTGGAGGTCTCGTGTTTGGTCTGATAGGAGGCCAACCTCTCATTGTTCTACTCACAACTGCTCCATTAGCACTCTACACCAAGAGTAAGTGACGATCTTTTGCCAGGTTTTAATTCATTTACCAGTTTACCAGAATATATATGAATATTAAAAATTATTTCATGTAAATTTTGATTAACATTTCATTTGCTTAAGGAATGTTCATAATAAAACCAAAAACTTTTGAATAAAGTTGAGATGAAAATGAATTTATTTTGTACTGAATATTGATTTTGTAATTCATTATTACATCGGCAAAACCTCTATGATTCTATGATATAGCCTTAGTCTTAATTGTCTTTGATGAAAGTATGTGGTTTTGTATTGCAGTTATCTACAGTGTTGCTGAAGATTTTGATCTAGATTTCTATGCGTTGTATGGCTGGGTAGGCATTTGGAACTGCTTCTTCCTTCTCATATACTCCATCACAGGTGCTAGCAAACTTATGCAGTGGTCAAGTAGGTAAGACAGTAGTAAAATTAATGTCCTCATGTGTTTTCAGAATCTCAAATTGGCACAGGGCTGGGCACTAGCTCTAATACAAGAAAGATCACTGATAATAAAGAAAATGTTTCGACATTAAAGGCATAAGCTATTAACATGTTGTAATTTTAAATTGCTTTTACTCTTCCACTTACAGATCTACAGAGGAAATCTTTGCTCTGTTCATATCTATAGCCTTCACTGTAGATGGCATCAAAGCCATAGCAAAAAGTAAGTAAACAATGTCTAAGTGGACAATCATATTTGCTATTTTTTTTATTTTCCTTTTAAGTGGAATTCAAAACCCAGTGAAATATTAACTTAAACAGCCATTTGAAGGTTATCTATTTTCAGTTATATTAAATTCTGTCTAAATTTTAAAAATGATCATTGAGTTCATATACTAGAACCTGGAAGTGTCATTTAATTAAAGATAGAAAATCAGAGTAGTGTCACTCATATGTCAGTTCTGGTTTTGGTTCTTGCCTCTCAGTTCAATTCAAGTTATGGTTCATAAGCTTAACATGGTGGAAAAGATTGAATACAATGGACGACAGAAATGTGTTGTGTTTTATAACTGTTTCGCAGTTGCCCATGCAAGACTTAAGTCAAAACAATCTTTTTGTTTCAATTGCCCCATGGCTCGATAATGACGATTTTTGACCCCTCTTGTTTTGAGGGGAAATATGTTTATTTGGGATTTTAAAGTAAAACCTGGAATCACATGAACATAACATGGATTGGAATTAAAAAGAGAGTCACTAGAATGGATAGACTTGTAAGTTTAAAATGACGTATCAGCCTATTCTAGTACACCAATGAAACTTTTCCTCTAATTTATTTTACAGATTTTGATGATAATTATTGGAGCTGTAACAATCTTCCAAGTGTAGTGAACTGCTCTTCTCTTGACAACACATCGTTGAGTTATACAGTGATCAACAATACATATGAGTGTAATGTCTACCCCACGTGTCTACGAGAGAACAGCCTCTTGTATCTTCTACTTGCACTTGGAACATTGTGGCTTGGACTCTTTCTCTACAATTCCACACAAACGTAAGCCAATCAGTTTTTATGATAAGTATTTGGAAATTTTTCACCAGAAAGTGAAATATGTTACATTAGGAGGTGTTCACATTGAAAGTTACTTTAAGAATGTACTTATAGGATTTGACTATAATAAGCATTTAAAATCTGTCAGAAGTGTTCTCAGGACTTTTATACTTTATGTAATGAATGAAACATCCTAAAAGTACAATGTGTATATTAATTTTTTTATCTTGATTTCTTATGATAACCATTCAGTTTTTCCACTGACTGTAAACCTTGATCTATCGACTTGGTCCACAGTTTTATAGTCTAGCTACAAGCCCTTACATGCCCCCAGTCTTGATGCAAGATTAACAGTGTTATGATATAATTGTAACAGTCAACTTCAGTAGAGGTCAACAATTGTTCTATATTGTATTTCAGGCCATTCCTGACTGCTGGGAAGAGAGAACTATTGGCTGACTATGCCCTGCCTGTCTCAGTATTGCTGTTCTCATTCTTCGGATCTTATGTCTTCAAGGATGTAAAAAGTAAGTCAGATCTCTTTTCTATTACAGTAATGTCTAGTATGTATAATGTAATTAGAATTATTTATTTATTCCCCTTAATCTCGACCACTTTGCTGACAATCACATATACTTTTAACATTTTGTTACTGATATGATCTTAATCTCTGTAGCTTTAAAGTGGGTCTTTTATTTTATTTGATGTGAAATTGATATAAGCTACTTTTAGGCAGAAAACGTTGTTTCTCGATTTTTTATGACACATTCTGATTCAATTTGATTTGAGATAAAAGTGAGCTTTTGTGAAAGTTTTTTCTATATCACAATTACTGTACACCTTTTCACTTTACACCAACTTGGAATGTATACTTTATTGCTTTGTAGGTGAGAAGTTTAAATTCAATGCTGGCTGGGACCTGTTTCAATTGTGTCCATTTGGTAACCTACCAATAGGGGGAATATTTGCTGCAGCTGGTCTGGGATTCTCTCTCTCTCTTCTGTTCTTTATGGATCAGAATATATCCAGTGCCATGGTCAACTCACCACAGAACAAGTAAGAACAGTTGTACTTTTGAGCATATATATATATATACTGGACATGTATATCTTATTTTCTAGGTGCTCCCTTATTCTCCCTTATGAAAGCATTAGGTATTGGTCACCATATATGATTTTGGCCACTTGTTCTATACCATCCTCTGATGATCTAGAACTTATCCACAACTTTTTGCATTCTTCTTTCGATGAAGGAACGTTTCCTGGTGCTTTGCGTTTGTAGGATGGTAGTATCATTGTACCATACAGTGTATGTGTCTAACTAAATTCAGGATACATACATGGACAGTTTTTGGGACCTTTTTTTGGAAGTTTTTGGAATACACATCCTCTTGTTATCATGTCAAGTGGTATAATATCATACTCATTGTAACCAATAATTTTTTTGAAAATGTATATTGTAATGACTAATGACCTTGTATTCATATTTTAGGTTGAAGAAGGGTTGTGCATACCATCTAGACCTACTTGTTGTTGCTATAGTGAATGGGGTACTGTCTGTGTTCTGTTTACCATGGGTACACGCTGCCCTTCCTCACTCACCCCTCCATGTCAAAGCTCTGGCTGATATTGAAGAGAGAGTGGACCACGGCCATGTTTACCAACTGTAAGTACTGTAAACAACATATCTTCTTTGAGATATGTGCTATTTTTTTAATTTTCTAACAGATTCATGTGTACAAGATATTTATAACAACAATTGACACTTCAATAATTATATTTATTATATCAAAATTGATTGACATGTATTTAATATCGGATGTATTTGAAGTGATTTCCTTTGAAATATATATATGCCAGTATAGAACAATGCCTCGGTAGGTTTGGTAGATGGTAATCAATGAGTTGCAATGAGTAACATTGAGTTTCTGCATATTTGGCATACCTGTGTATGAATTCATTGGCTGGAACAATAGACTTGTATATTATTCACTTCTTTTTGATCTTTATCATTCTCATGTTTGATTTATCAAACAAAGCTCTTTGAACTTTAAAACAAAGCTCTTTGAACTTAAAAAGTCCCCAATAAATCAACCAAAATAGCTTGCTTAAAGCCATTTCAACACAATACTTACATGTATCTTAGATCATTGCTGACAATTGACAATTGACAAAAAATATGGCTTGCAAAATCTAAATCTTTAATCTAAATATGAAAATAATATCTAATTTGGCTAATACTGTTCATTTTTTTATTTTAAGGATTGTGAAAGTGCGTGAAACAAGATTGACAGCTATTATATCTCATGTGCTGATAGGTGTCTCACTGCTGATGCTGCCAATACCTCTTACTTACATCCCCCCTGCTGTCCTAGATGGACTCTTCCTCTATGTTGCCATCACTGCTCTCTATGGCAACCAGATGTATGAGAGGCTAACACTGTTGTTCACTGAGCAGGTATTTTGAACCACTTGGCTTGATGTCATTTTGCTTTATTTCGGAGAAACTGAACAATTTAATGAAGTATATTTTCACCATTTGAGGTAAATCATCAATGAAACATAGACTTTAAGAAGGACTAATTTTTGAATTTTACCCAATATCAAGGGCAAATCTACTGCTTGCCATTGTGAATGATTCCCAATTTCTCTTGTTAATGTTAACCTTAAAAAGAAGTAGATGCCTTGTTATCTTATCAAATGACCCCATATATTTTTTGTCATTTTCAGTCAGCCTACCCACCCAACCATTACATCCGGAATGTTCCACAGAGGAAGATTCATACATTTACAGCCATGCAGCTGTTCCAACTGGTGGTGCTATGTGCAGTTGGCTTTAATAACTTTGCTTACTTGAAGATGGTCTTCCCAATATTACTCATGCTGCTGATGCCAATCAGGTTTGTGGATTTTACCATTTTGGAGATCTTCACTCGTTAAATTTGAGATTTCTTTGTTATCAGAATACAAGGTCAGATTATAATAACATTACATATGTGAACAGGAGTATCATTTTAGAATATTTCTTGTCATCTAGATGACCATTTTGAATATTTATCAAATGAATAGTTTTTTTTTTGTAATGCAGTGATCTCCCCATGTCACTTTTACCGGGAGCCCTCCTACTTGAAACCAAAGCCCCCCCCCCCCTACCCTAGTTGACACCCTGCACTTCAACTTCTGATTTGAAAAATGAGTGAAGTAAGCACCCAGTTGAAATTTTTTTTAGGGAGGGAGAACACTGTTGAAATGTGATTTCTAGAAAACTGCTCAACTGATTTACTACAAATTAAAACAAATGTAAGATTGTACGAAGCTCCATCATCGCTTTCCACTGGGTTTTGAGATAGAAACAAATAAAACCTTGTGAATCAAGATGACGATGCTCTACAATTCCTCATGAGGTTTTTTCTAGGTGGTGTGATTTCATTTATTTCTCTCATGATGTGCCTTGTTTGTAATTCCAGACACAAAATTATGCCCAAGTTGGTGGAGAATAAATATCTGAAGCATTTAGACAGCAACCTGATGTAAAGCAGTGACTCGAGACATTTAACTACAGTACAATAGAATCATATCTATACGTCTAATCCATACATTTACACCAAGTTTTTAGCATTTTATGCATATACTGTAAATATGTGTAAATATTATATACAAGAGAATTTTTCCATAATGCAGTTTTACGCAGTGGATTTACCATATTGAATATCTTTTTGAGAAGGGATACACAATTTGAACTCATCGATTTTATAGTTCATATGGACGCAATGTTTAATTTTGCTACAATGAGTAATAAATGAAGTCTTGTAATTGTCTGAATGCAAAAAGTTGGGAATTTAATCGTAGTCACAATAAGAGGAGGGAAAACCCCAGAACTGAGAGATGACAGACATGATTACGTCTCTTGCTTACCACTTTCGTTTGTCCAAATTTTCACCTGCTAGTTTCTGAATACCACATGTCGTTGAGATGTTTTAATTGATGTCTGCATATTCCTTACATCTTTCTTTATCTTGATGTGAAAGAACAAGTTATGATATTGGTGAACACTACAGAAATTCACATAATATTATTTGAAGCGATTTTAGAAAATTTTGTAACCACTCATGAATGACATCATTTGTCTGTCGATTTGACCAATCAAGGTTGATATGTCTTCTCTACACACATTTACATTATAGGCATATTGTCTTCTGTGAACCCTAGGGTTTTCCCTCTTCTTAGTTACAATGTTATCAATATTTCATAAAAAATGGTTTCAAAAGGATCCACATTAGAACATGGTCAGAGTGAGAAGTCACTACTTAAGAAACAGTCAAACCCTTTGTAAATGTAATGTAGGGCATAGATTTTTCAGTATACCATGGCTCTTAATGCAAAGTAAATAAAAAAAATTGCCTGACTTGTTTTCATGGGTGTGTTATTAATAGTAAGAAGTCATCACACAATAGCAGCTATCCTTCCATTTCTTACTATTTTATCTGACGTTTTAAAGTGCAACGCGAACATCAAATATTTTTAGTGCATATATGCTTCGATATATTTTTTGGAGAAAAACATTATTTTTGAAAATATTTTTAACATATTGTATACAATCGTAGGTTTTCTCTTGAAAGGCCATGATACAATGTAGACCAATATTTTTTAAATGTCATTCTAGATGGTAAGGGCTTCTTCCTAAATGTTCAAATATTCACAGTGCCATCTATTTCAAATGTACATTGCTAACCTGGGGGCCATTAACAAAAACTTCGTAAAGTTAAGAATTCGTAAATTCATTATTCTGTAACTGTGACATCATTATATCCATGGTTACAACAATTGATTTACGAATTCGCAACTTTTCGAAGTTTCTATTAATGACAAAGTAGTGGTTTATCATTCCTCTCTCGTCAATTTTGTTAAAATTTGTTGCTCAGTGTACACAGGTCTGAAAACTTTTGGAATGAAAATAAAACTTGTAATATTTGAATATAATGCTGTAAAGCATGATGCATTTCATTGTTCCTTAATTGTTAAATCTAGAGGAAATGGCTCACTAGTTTATATTAGAAATTTGCTTACAATCTTGTATATATTCATAATGTATTGAAACTATAAAGCCGGTGTGAACTGTGTCGTACTTAGAAGGCTTACACGCTAACTTGATATTGTGGGATATTTATATGATTTAATAGTTCTGTTGCATGAACATTTATACCACAATATATAGTTTCCTGCCTCTGAAAATTGTTAACAAATTCATATTTATGTTGAATTTATGTAGGTTTTGTTTTTTGGTGAGAATTCGTAACCTTTTTCGTATTGCTGTTTGTCCTGTGCAATTCATTATTCTTGTATGAAATAAATGTTTACATTGAGTCCTGTAAAAGTAAGACCAGGGTCACGAGCCCATACTAAGATTAACTGAACTGAATACACCATTGGATTTTACCCATGCAAAATTGCGTATGCTTACGGTGGAAGAACTTTTACCCTTATGATTTTTACATGTTGCATATTGTCACAGGTCGTTTGCTTATGAATGTTTTCATGTTGATAATTATTGAGAAAAGCAGTAAATGTAACTCTTTATATGCACTTGTAGTGCAGCATTGTATCAAGTATTAAAACTGCTTTGTAAAAATGCACAAGATATTGTCAGAATTGTGACATTTCCATTTTTGTTACTATAGCTAATCAGCTGTTCTGGAATTATAAATAAACTTTAAACAGCTGTGTAATATATGTATATAAACAACTTGAGCAGAGTACAGACAATGAATATGGTTATGACAATGTGTATGGTCATGACATTGTGTATGGTTATGACAATGTGCATGGTTATGACAATGTGCACAGTTATGACAATGTGTATGGTTATGACAATGTGTATGGTTATGACAATGTGCACAGTTATGACAATGTGCACAGTTATGACAATGTGTATGGTTATGACAATGTGTATGGTTATGACAATGTGCACAGTTATGACAATGTGCATGGTTATGACAATGTATATGGTTATGACAATGTGTATGGTCATGACATTGTGTATGGTTATGACAATGTGCATTGTTATGACAATGTGTATGGTTATGACAATGTGCATGGTTATGACAATGTATATGGTTATGACAATGTGCATGGTTATGACAATGTGTATGGTTATGACAATGTGCACAGTTATGACAATGTGCATGGTTATGACAATGAATATGGTTATGACAATGTGCATGGTTATGACATTGTGTATGGTTATGACAATGTGCATGGTTATGACAATGTGCACGGTTATGACAATGTGTATGGTTATGACAATGTGTACAGTTATGACAATGTGCATGGTTATGACAATGAATATGGTTATGACAATGTGCATGGTTATGACAATTTGTATGGTTATGACAATGAATATGGTTATTACAATATGTATGGTTATGGCAATGTGTATGGTTCTGACAATGGGTAAGTTTATGACAGTGTGTATGGCTTTGACGGCGTATGGTTCAGTTGTGACAATGTTTATTGTTATAAGTCATTTATAATTATGTACAGGGGAGGGATACCAATATGTTTTGCATGAATGTGCATTGGTCCATTATTGTGTTGTGTTATAAAAACTGTATTTTCCACCACAGACCCAATGTATTATTACTATTCCTTTAAGTGGTCATATATTTAGGCTCTTGAGTCATAATAAACATGACATAATAGCTCAAACAGTGAAATTTTCTTTTTTAAAAATATGTTTTCATGAAAGTTGCATTGAGCTCACATGGACAAATTCTTTGGGCCAATATATAGTATATATTTGTAATACATTTAGAACATATACACTAGTTGTTATACCTTCTAATACAGGGTTCCAAATATTATATTTTTATTTTAGTTAATTCTTGATTGAGACTTTGATATGAGATATGGACCCCTGCATTGTAGGGAAATGTTGTTATATATACATTGATACAGTGTGCAAGAAGAAAAATGTAAATTATTTTAAAGCGATTTTAAAAACTAGTATTTTTGTCACCTTATAGCATGGACTTTTTACAGATCTAGAATCCCCATGGTTTTAGCAAAAAGTAAAGCCATCTGTTTATAAAACGTGCTGTGTACTTGAATAAGTATAAAATGTATTATGAAACATTTTATTTAGAATTTCAATTTCAAAGGCCATACTTACTGCAAATTGCCAATGAGTAACAATAAAAGTGCACATATTATCCAAAAATTTGTATTTTTGTTAAGTATCACACATCAAATACAGTTTTTATGTCACCACCAGAAGTGGTGACATATTGTTATAGCCTCTTTTGTGGCTGGTGTTCAGCAGTTGGTGATTGATTGTTGGCATCTGTAACAAATGGCAGGTGGTGACATTTTGCATGGGAGAGCTATGTTTCCTGATTATGGATAATTCCGAAAACAAAATCTGAACAGACAACTTACAGAGATTGTCTAAAGTCAATGTTATGGAATGTTATGATCGGCTACTGTTGGAATAATGACTATTGCTTGCAATTTATTCACCTTTTTCATGACAGATCCTACATTTAACTTACATTTACTTACCCAGTCACATTTGAAAATGGTAATTAAAATCAATATCTTGTCTTCATTACTATCAATAATTTCAAAAACAAATCGTAAAACATCAAATATTTCATACTGCACATCATTATTTCAGAACTAAATCGTTTCTTGATAAGCCATCTTTTTTGAAGAATGAAACAAAAGAGGCACATTAGTCGAGCAATTTATATTTATTTAGTTAGCATGCTTGTTTAGCAGACTACATCATGAAGTGTGTTCAAAAATATCACTGAAATAACCTCTCAATTATCGATGATATCAATAATAATGTGCCAATATATTTTGGACACCCCTTGTATTAACATACAACAGTATACTCAATAACATAACATTCTATTTGAAAGTGATGTATCCACCACCCAAACATGTATGTATGCACAATGTCACAAAATAAATTTTGCTACACTTCTATGTAAGTATACATGGCTGTAATATGTTAGAACAATATTTGATCAAAAAATAAATCTAAACTTTGCACTCGGGCTCTAACTGGTATGATAGGAATTCTGAACTAATAAATGACCACATTTTGAGAGAATTAGATATTTCATGAGCATTTAGCAAATATGTAATTTACGCAATATTTATTTTCTTTGTCTAATGTATTGATATTCAATGGACAATCCCAACCTGTTTCCATGGTTTGATCATTTTGATCTGAAAGTATGTTTCCATGTGGTTTGGTTGGTTATTAGCATGTAACTTTAAATAAAAGTAGAATGCTACAGCGTGAAAAAATGTCCAGCAATATTTTCAGAGCTAAAATGATTCTGAAATTGAGAAAATTTAAAAGTTCTCAACCTCTGATTCTACCTTTAAATAATCGAATACATGTCTGATTCTGCCTTTAAATATATAATTGCATACATGTTCAAATATACCATTTCATAAACTTTTTCAACACAATATATAACAACCAACAACTGGATAACTTCTAGATGTATTTATACAACTTTATGTATGATTTCTTGGCACAGTGTTTTTCACTCTCCAAACACAAGGCTCTGGGAATATCCACTTAGAAGGAAGGGACTTCAGAGGATGATATCTGGGACTCTGCGATTGGAGAATGAATGTTAAGACAAAATAAGCTACCATGAACATGAACATGCATATTACAATGATCAACATTGTCCTCATAAAATTAAAATATCTGAATCTACAATAATATATTGCATTTCCTCGGAATCTACAATTAATGTACAATAAATTATATACATTTAAAATATATAACATATACATATAATACATTCTATCATTATCAATATCACAGATATCAGCAACATTAAACAGTTCTGTTGCCATGGTAGTTTTCAAAAACTGGGATCCCAGAGAGATCATTTGTGTGAATTTCTGGCAATAACAGTCAATTTTCAAAATGGCATTATTTTTCAAAAAAATAATGGAAAATTAATCTAACCTTTGAGATTAATCCCACTTCTCCCAAACAATTCAATTTAAAAAATCTCACTTGATTTCAACTGAAAATGAACATTTTACAAAATAATCATCATCTACCCCTCCTGTTTGGACACCATCAATAAATGTCTGAAACTTTTTGAACATCTAAATGTTTTTGTGTATCATGAGAATAGATGGATAAACACTACCCTCCAACTCCAAAGTTTGGCAACTGGAAAATGGAAATCACATCTTGGACCATGTGTCCAAGCCTATTTACATGTATGTTTCACAATTTTAACAGATTCATCAAATATGTCATTTTCTGATCTATTTAATAAAAGAAAAAATTAAAGATTAAAAAATAAGCAGAGTTTCAACATTTTAAGTTGCCAAACGTATGGATGGGGGGTGTATATAACATTGGTATTGATTTCCCTTATATGTGACACAAATGCCCAGGGACTAAACCTGGTGAGAGCAATGTTCATAATGGAATGGTCAAAATGGACGGAATCTTAGTTGTAAAACATACAATAGTATGGTTTGAATTCCTTTGGTTAATAACCCTATTTGGAAAATATACCATTATCACCTGAAGAGTGCACAGGCCCTAACACCTAATGAGTGCACATGTGACTTCAGAAGCTTCATAAACTTTGGCTTTTTGATGTGATTGCGATCTGTTTTCAAATATATGAAGAGAATATAGTAAATTGTAACCTTCCACAGATCCAGATCTGAAATTCGGCATGGAGCATGTCAAATAGATAAAGTTTGGTGCAAGGCCATATGATGACTGTTACAATATTTGAATTGTATAGAGTACATGTACATGTTGATTTTGTATAGACCGTGTGTGTTTGCATGAGTTATTATTACATATTAGCATTTCTGCCTGAATCCAATCAATTTGCGTTTGCTCATGTTGTAATATTGTAGGTCACAAATATTTATGAGCATACGAAAATCCGAAAGTACAAATTGAAAAGGATTCTTCAGTAAATGGTTTCACTTAGTCCAATAGTGTTTTCCTTCGCTAGAATGAAGGGAAATCACTTCAAGGATATCTAATGCGTGGTTGTCGCGATTGATCAGCCAGATGACTCAAGCATGACTCAAATAATCACACATTGGTCTATTTCCTTCTTCGGTTTGGCATTTGCACTCTTTTTAACGGAGATGAGCATAACTCCGTAGCATTTCATATCTGATGTTGCTGTTAAATCACTTTTATATGTGCATGACCAACTCTGATAACATTTGAGAATAGTTTTGTTCCATGGCTAATTGAGGCAAACACAGAGTCTTATCTCCTTGTCTTACAGTCACGATTTGCAACGATTGGTGTCCATTTGCTAAAGCACCATTTGCTTTAGTACCGTCACTTTTTAACTTGGGGAATATTTTATCTGAGATTCCTTCAACCATACAGGCATCCTCTCCTGTGATCACTCCCTTTGTGTTGGAAGGGGGAAGTAGTTTCCGCGGCCTGAAAGAACATGATGAACAATGCATTGAATCTTGCGTATTATCACTTGTGTATTATGCATATACGAAAACATGCGTGATGAGTGGCGTCCATGACTGTTCATACAGAGTAATTTTATTCAGTAAAGTTTGGATTAAAAGAGATTAAAAATTTAGGATAATAGAGGCATTATTTATTGAATAGTCCTCGTATCATTACATTATTACATGTAAATAGATTTAGAAATGCTTCGTGAGCACCAGTGCTTATCAAAATGACTGCACATATTCTACAAGAGTAGTTTTTTATGCTTTTGTGCTATATTTCAAATACTAAATTGAATTTGGAAAAAATTAATTCAAAGAAAAAAGACCAGAAGCTAAATCTTTGGACTTTGAACTCTTGATTTTATTTGGTAACCACATCAAATATTTGGTCTTGATCAACTCCAAATAAAATGTTTGAGAATATATCAACAGTCAAGGGCAATTTATGAAGCATTGTGTATCAAAGGTAACATAACTTTGTACTCGTGTTTGAAATGTCACCCTAAAGTATTTATTTGACTAAATCTAATGTAATAGGAAACTTCATCACCCAAATTTCTATAGTTTTTAAGTTTTTTAACCTTTAATTTAACCCCCTTAATACAAGTATATATGAATATCCCCCTATTTCTATGAATAATATATCCTTGGAATCGTAACCTTGGATATTTTATGTACTGGTTGGTTAGTATGGTTACCTGTTGGTGGGTACCCAATCCATTGTTTTTATTCTTGCCTAGGGACTGAATAATTTAGAGTGCATTGCGTGCTTGATATGTCTACTGTCTAATGAACAATACTACAAGTTCTATAATGATTTGTCCTATATACGAAAATGAGATAAGTTCTATAATGATTTGTTCTAGATACAAAAATGAGATAAGTTCTATAATGATTTGTCCTACATACAAAAATGAGATAAGTTCTATAATGATTTGTCCTACATACAAAAATGAGATAAGTTCTATGATGATTTGTCCTATATATGAAAATGAGAAAAGGGAGACTTAAGATACATGGTGGGAGAGAATCAAGCTGAGAGACCTCTCCCTTAGGAGATGATGGGAGACTGTATTTGTGATTACTTAACATGGCCTCTCTTAAACCAACTAACCAACAGAAAATAATGTGCCCAAGAAAATTTGTGAGTACAGCTGTACATGTATTTCAAAAGCCACTCGCCAAATGAAACATATCCTTTGGAGAGCATTATGTGATGATGAAATTTCTAGAGGTCTGTGGCTGATATGATGTTATGAATTTATTCTTCATTCACAGAGGATATTTCCATGTCATGCATGCTAATTTAATATATCATTAATGTGTATTTATCGTAATCAATTAACATGTACATGTTCTGTGTTATTTTACCATGTTGCCATAGTAACCTCATAAAAGATAGTTATTATATTGGATCTTGATATTCAACATTTTTAAAAATAGGCCCTATTCTAAGTACATGTAATATAGAAAATATCTAAATCAAATTGTGCTCTTACCGTCCTCTCCTAAATATAGATGTTTTTGATGGGGGTGTGTTATATAGATCTGTCTTTTTTGTCTTTTTCTCCTCTACACAGTCAAAAAGTTTAAACAACAAGTCTGTATTTGCAGTAGCTTGGGTACGTTCTGATCTCTCGGGACGAGGAGCTGGTTTCTTGGGTTTTGGTTCTTTTTCCTCAGGAGGTGTGACAGGTCGAACATCTGAATTAACAAAAATGCCATATTTATGTGAGGATATATCTCCACACTTTTCAGTATATTCTACCTTAACTCCCTGGTTGAGGGTGGGAAATATCACCTTTACATCTGCCAATGGCAATCAATTTTCACACTTGGTAATGAACTTAGAAAAATGAGTTACCTATTGGGCAATGGACTGAATGTGCATATGTTAGAGGGTGATCATGTTTACAACCCTAGTTTTTGACCCTGACTGACCAACTCATAACAAATATAACAATAACATTCATAAGGACACACCACTTATCCTACTATGTATCATTGTTATTGTTAAAGTGAAACCCAATTATCATATATCATACCCATTATGTCTTCACTAGGGTTCTTTCCATCAAACTTCATGAGAGGCGGAAGCACATGAGAGGACACCTGATTGGCTGGTGATTCATTCAACGTGCGATTTGGTTCATTCCAGAATGACTGAGGCAATGCTCTCATTCTCATAGGTAAAGGATCTGAAATGAAAATTATAATATTTATTTTAAGAAATATGGACTTTTACTCCCTCCCAAAAAGACTGTGTGGATATATCCAGATACGTAATCCTGCCCCTTTAATTTTAGATTTAATTTATTTCAAATCCAGTGAGTGAGATAATCAAAGGCAGAACCTTAGGCAATCTTAATCTACAAATGTATTGTAATTTAGGCAATCTTAATCTACAAATGTATTGTAATTTAGGCAATCTTAATCTACAAATGTATTGTAATTTAGGCAATCTTAATCTACAAATGTATTGTAATTTAGGCAACCTTAATCTACAAATGTATTGTAATTTATCATCAGGATGTAGGTCTAATAAAAGCATAACAGTGATATATGAAAGCATGATAATAACAGTGAAACCTGTAAAGTGGAACACCTCTAGAAGTGGAACACTTTTCAGAGTCCCAAGACCAACTGACTTTACCACTTTTTAGAGGTTCTAAAGGTGTTCCACTTAGACAAGTTTTAAAGTATTTTGATTATCACTGTCAACTTGTTTTGCTGGAAAGAAAAAATGGTTTATCCTCATCCTTTTGTTTCTGAATACAATATCAACAAAACATTAGATACATTTATACTGCCTGATTACATATGAATAATAAATGCTACTCTCATTTATCATTTTGAACATAAATCACTTTTCTGAGTAGCTATGTTAATAGCATTTGGTTATCATTACACGATATTCTTGGCACCGAGTACTTTCCCACAAACATATTATCAAATAGAAATAATGGAAAATTAATAAGTCTACCTAGACTGGTAGATACACCAGCAATATGCAATAACTTAGAGCGTTATGAAGGCATCCTATCATGAATTAGCTTAATGGAAAAATCATAACATTTAGTAATGAGAATTCCACACAGAAATGCTTGAAACGTGACAAACTGTTTTAATCTAGAATATCCTTTCATTAAATGAAGCAAAAAAAGATGCAGGTATAGGTATGTGTATGATGCCAACTGGTTATGAGTTAAAAAGGATATGCTTGTATGCATTGACATTTACCAGACGACTAATTTAGTTTCCTCTATAATGATTGTGCTGCATATTAGCAATCAATACACCTATTTATATATACCTATACTATCATAGAGAATATAGGAATTTGCTAATAAACTAAGCCTCGGTAAAGAATAACAGAATATATTGATGAAAATGGGAAATTACACATTAAGGGGTTCAATTATATTCATTTATGGATCAACGAACAACATGTGTTAATCTGTCAAAATAGTAGAAATTAACAAGTGGCATTCATGTTCTCTGTCAAAAACTCAAAGGATAACAATTTAAGTCTTAAACAAAAAGGCACCTGAACAGCTATATGTTTATTTATCAATAGAATGTCATCAAGACTTTTACCTTTTATTATATAATTTATGCTGAGTCATGGAAAGGTGTAATTTCATATTAAACTTCATCTTTTTAGATCTATTCAAGACATTACTTCAAATCCATATCAAATTATTTTCAAATTGTTCATATTTAAAAAAATAAGAGATTGTTTTTTGGCACAGTTCTCAAATATCATTGGGTTTATTTGAATCAAAGTTCATCAGCTTTTGGTGTTTTAAAGATGAAAAGTTGAGTTGCTGTCTACGTTGACAGTTATGTAAATAATTAAACAACTCCACTGGAAAACTTGGATTTCTGCATGCAAACATGCTTGAAGTTTGGCCTTTCACAGATATATGATTGTACATGTACACTCCCCTCCACAAGTATGACAACCTAAAGTCTTCATTTCATAGCCTGTTAAAGCCTGTTGAATGCTTATTTTGTTTCTCTATTAATGATTTGGAAATTTATGACAAACTTTATGAATATTTTCAATATGTGATGTAGAAGGGGATTTCCTTTTGCTTTAAATGTATGGAGGGGGTGCATGTACTCGGATAATATAGTTATACCTTCACAAAATATATAAAGTGATACTCAACACATATTTCTGCCTTGTAATGCAGTGCTCTGATTCAATAAAATCATTTTCAAGATATTTACATTTCATGGTTCTTCAAATTCAGTTCATCTCTTTTACTAGGAAAACAGGCATTCTAGACTACATGAACAATACTTACTATTGATTAACTGTAATGGACATTATGATGGGTTACATGTTAAATCCAATAATCCCACTTAATGTTTAACATATAACTTGGCTACTATTATAGTAACACCAATGACTGGGCAATAAATATATACCAGATTAGCAGTATCTAGATTATAGACTAAATAGCAGTGTATTTTCAAATACTGCTATCATTGGTTACTCCTTTTATTTCAAGCAATGTGAAAGTGTCTACCAGGCGATGATTTAATGACTATTGTTAACCCATACTCTTGAGTTCTCAATAGGAATCGCTTCCTAAAAATGAAATTATTTATATCAAAATATCAGAACAACCAACCTCTTCTAGGTTTTCCTTTTGGTGGTATTGGTTCCCCTCTTCTTAGCCCATCTTTTAATGAAATTGTTTTCTTCTTTTTACTCTTTGATTGTTTTATCTCCTGTCCATGATATTTAAAACCTGCTGGCCTGACATATATAGGTCCACTAGATGTGCTACTACCTGGCGATGCCACATTTTCATAGTCATGGTCAGCCAATGCTGATAAATTAGGGGATATAGGAGATATTGGTGATTCTGGGCAAGGAATCTCAATCGTCAATTGGTTCGCTTTGGATTTATTTGTTTCTAATGATTTATCATTGATGTCTTCTTCATCACTACTTCCCTGAGGTAACTGGGCAACAGGACGCCTTTTACCACCTGCACCATGCACAGCATACATTGCATCATGACGATTATTGCTAGAGCCATGAGAAATTGTTTTAGTACCTCCCAACATCGTTCTGTAGTTTTGTGATATATAAGAAACATAAACTTTAAATTCTTGCAGTTCTTTGATATTGTGTACTATTTGTTATTGACGCCTTGTTATTGCTATTTACAAATGTTGTGGCTACAATATTTGACAAGTTCAGGTGCAGAGGTTTTGCACTGAAGAATATTAGAGCTGTATGCTCCAACGTATATTTTACTGAATGTAGGAGCAGTTATCCATATTGTCAAACTAGCATCGATCATATGTATTTTTTAGAATTTACAAATTATGATTGTAAGAGCCTTTTCTAGGAACTCTAAATTGCAGACGATTTTAAAATCCATCGTTTGAAGAAGGTCAATTCATCTGCCTAATTCTGATGCCCCATAAGACTTTTCATAGTCCACTTTACTATTAATATACAGCTATTATATTTTTGCATCAAAGCACGTTGTATAGATTGTTTTTTGAAGATTGGCCGTTGATATAATCCATCTTCTTTCCAAGTTCGTGTTCAATGTTTTCATTTGTTGATATCCCGTCGCCATGTTCTGATCTCAATACCATGACAAGGAGTTTAGTTCCAATGATGAATCATAAATATTCAAACTCATTATTATTATTATGAAACTACACTTAAATTTATTTGACCAGTATATTTTAGTAAAAGTTGTCGTGCTATATCACAACAGATTTTACACTTGGGATGTTTTACTTGTATCATACTAGATCTTTAAGCTCTTGTCATGACAGGTGCCCGCCATTAGTAATGCGCTGAAAATACGAACATACAGAAATTGTTAAGCAGGGATTCGGTGCATGGCAAGTAAACAACCTGAGCCGAGAAGCTGGGGTTAGCAACTTTTGATTTTCAAACTGATGGCGGATCTCATACTAAGAATCCACAAATAAGGCTCTTTAAAACAACTATGAAAAATGGGAGGGGATTGGCGTCGCGTGAACTTAGATTTGGGATGTTGGGGCATTTTTCCATATGGCAATTGATTGATTTGTATGGAAAATTTCTCATAAAAATTGACCTTTGCAGATTTGTTTACTTGCAACAATCGCCCAATTCCCCATGCATTTTGTCCATTTGTCCGAGATTTAATATGTTTAAGCAAGGGCAGCCCATGATTTAAGTTCCAATTTGCAACTGCAACAATATAAGAGTATTATAACAATACTATATAATAACAATATAATATTGGACCCTACTCGTCTCTATTAATCATACCCTTTAATAAAGAGGGGGTGACCTACCTCCGGGACCTAAATACTCTCATCAGTGGCGATATAGGGACAGAAAATATTAGCATTTTATACAAGTAACGATTTTTTAAACTTTTAATGAAAGAAAATATCAAGTTGAAGGAAAATAAATGGAAACTATTGTTGCCTTTATTCAAAACGTGAATAATGGAATTATATGCAGCATTTCTAAAACACGTTACTTTGCGTTTAAAACGTTATTTTATTGGACTTTAATTTTTCTCCACGAAGAATGGATGATTTTTATTAGGTATAAAAACATTACTTTTCAATTCTTGTCCCTATACGGGGGCGTCCGAGAGAAGGATTTGCCAAGGAGAAGGGCGCTACTTTCAAGTATGGGTGGGTCGTGCCCGTGCGCGAAGCGCACCCTCACGCGAAGCGTGTAGTGGAAAGAAGGTGGGTCGTGGGCATGCCCCCAGAAGTTTTTTAAATTTGGACCTTTTCAGTGTTGCATTCTGAGCATATTCCAGCATAACATTCTTAATGATAAAAACAAGAAAAAATGTGTTTTTAGAGAACTTTACTTAACTTTGACTAAAAACCAGTGGCGGATCCAGGAAAAAAATTTTTGGGCTCCTAAAACCGTGACCGAAAAGTGGGCCCAAATTTTGAAATTTTGAGGCCCATTTTCTTCAAAATTTGGCCTAAATTAAAGAATAAGTCCTTAGAAGGGGGCCTCATGCCCCATGCCCCCCCCCCGGTCCGCCACTAAAAAATTGTCATTTACTAAAATATAGATTTTGCACACTTACAAAACGTCTAGAGCTTTCAATTCTAAGCTCAGAGCTTTCAATTCTAGGCTCAGTTTCAAATCTAAAAAAACTGGGAAAGGAGGGGGCGGTCACTTATCTACATCCTCCTAAGCAGGTATCCAGAATCCGTACCTCCTTCCCCCGGTAAAAAGAAAGAATATATTCTGGATTTTGAAGCCCTGTATGATCGGAGGATGCTTATCTAATATAGCCTATCTGTCAGACAGAAATTGAATTTCGGAATAATGTATGATACAATCATCATCATCATGTTTAGGAGGGTAAGGTTAGTCCTGTATTATCCTCCAAGATGTAGCATATAATTAGGTAATGCGAGAATAAACACTGACGTTCGCATTCATTTACAGGTCTGAATTTTCAAACACTGTTAAAATTGTAGCGCTCGTATTTATAGTGTAACATTCATAAACAAAGCCAAAAATTGGACTGTGTTTTCAAGATGTCGGAGCCCGTAGTGGCTTATTTCTACGACCCAGAGGTGGGAAATTTCCATTATGGTGAGTTATATGATCCCAGAGCCTCGTCGAAAGAATCATTCCTCTTCTTTATTTTCAAATGAACTATATAAGATAGCAAATAACATGTTATGTGTCCAGGTGAATAAGTATTTGAGTCTACAATAATAAAATTTGTTCAATTTTTTTGCAATAAAATGAAAATTTCACAGTCAGAGAGAATGTTCTGGCGAAAGGAGATTCTGGGATTTCAAATTTGGGAAGTTGGGAAACCAGAATGTGTTACCTTTTTTAATTCCCGAATCTCTCCGAAATTAGCTCATCTTGTAGTTCAACAAGTTAAACCCAATACCACGGCTTTCATTTATACTATTTTTTTCAAGGCCTGTCTGCGTCGCTAACATGCTAAATATAAGAGTTAGCTGACGTTTGGGAGTCTGACTTACCTTCTAAAGGTTAGAACCCGAATCTTAATGAAACCATATCACCTTTGTTCCGTCAACCATGGAGCATTTGCCACAACATCCAAGAGGTAAATCATGGATCGAGAAAATGAATGATTTCCTTGTAAGTTCCGGAAGTTTCAATACGAAAAATTACCGAACATATGTGAAAACCGAATATTTGTTCGTTGTTTTCACGATTTACAGGTTCGTTTGTTCTTCAATGTTTTGGTCTAAATTATAAAGCATCACCAACAGGTCTTTCTCTATTAATCTACTAATACAGCAGACGGCTCATATTTCTACGTAGCATTTCATTCAGACCAATAGTGGGAGTGTAGATCACGCAGTTTCGTTCGTTGCGTACTTCACTTGAAATTGGTAATTTTTAATATTGACTACTTCACTTAGCTTGGCGGATGTAGAACATTGCTTAATATTCTTTTAATTTTCACACCAGACATGCTTGGTTGACACGTCAACAAAGTAAAGTTCAAGGGTCAATGCGTTATTTCGTGATAACTACAACGCCTTCCCGGAAGTCAACATTGATGAAAAATGAAAAAGTCGGAAAAGCATTTACGCTAATTTCTATCAAATGCTATGTTTATGCATCATCATCGACGCAACAAAGGTGATATAGTTTCATTAAGATTCGGGTTCTAACCTTTAGAAGGTAAGTCAGACTCCCAAACGTCAGCTAACTCTTATATTTAGCATGTTAGCGACGCAGACAGGCCTTGAAAAAAATAGTAATCTGAGTGTTCTTGTTGCCGTGGTTGGGTTTAACTTCCATGCTATGCTTTCATTGGTTGCAAATTCTCACTATCAGTTATTAATAAAACGCGCATAGAATTCTATGCGCTGCTATAGGCCATCATTAAAATTTTTTGCATCAAGGGCCGAATAGGCACGGATGTTAAACCTAGGGCGGGCCACAAGAAATGTCAGATAAGAAATAAGGCCCAGACTAGGTTTAACTTGTTGAACTACTCATCTTGGTGACTGTAAATTGCACAGCTGTATTCAATGGAGTCTTGTCATATTCAATCAGCCTCAATTTTAAAGTGTATATTTTATTTTGAACGTGATTTCATCGTTTTTTGTCGACTGGTAAGAATCCGCTGAGCAAATGGCAAGATGGATGACTTTTGACCTGACCTTGACCGATGGCGGTGACGTCATCAATTTTATCTCGACGTTGATTGGTTAAATGATGATTGTTTGGGAAATTTGAATTTAGTTCTCGTAACCTCCCGTGACCTCCCGAATAGGTCACGTGACCTTGTGCCAGAAGCCCTACTTTTTTGTCAGTCGACCTGTTCAAAGAACATTTAGTAATAATTATCGCTTTTCAGAACAATTTAGGAAACAATATTTTCTATCTACGTCGATTACAAAGCATCTAAGGTACGTAAATTTATATGAACAACTGAGTCAATAGGGATAAATAGCCCAACGAGAGTCGGCGGTCTTGAAAAATACTTGGATCTGGATGCCAGTCCTGTTATTGATATCATTCCCGTTCGAAGAACGTATTAGATGTCCTTGGAAAATTTATAAGAAAAAAACATGAAAATCAAAATCTATGAAATTGATTTAAATCTAAATGGAAACAGTTATTGAAATTGGTTACCCTAGCCTTACTCAAGCCTTAAGCCTATAGAGGGCTGTTTCGATTTCCTTTTGCACTCTACAGAATTTGCCTTGAGGGGTTCACAGGCTATCACTTGAAAAGTGCTCAAAATGGCGAAAAACTGCATGATTTTCTTGAAATATACTGATGAATTTAACTATCAGAGATTTTATGTTCGCTGAAACACATATCTGATATAAGTATACGCTACAAGTGCATTATACATCTAAAAGTTATATTGAATGATTTCACACCGGAATAGCCTGACAACGGTAAAGTCAAATACTGTTGTCACAAATGGCGGACATAACCGTCGCTTCAACTCTTCAATCACTTGGTCCTCATTTCATGGGGCTTTATTGTGGCTAATTCTGTGCGTGTATTATAAGCTCTTGTGATGGTGTATCATATGAAATCCCAATTAGATCAAATTTGGTCGTGAATCGCCACAATATAGCGTCTTCGATATCGTCAGTGACAACGGAATCTGAATTTGAAATAATTTACAAAAACAATGTCATATGAGAATACAGTGTCGGTTGTCCAGTATCTCATTTTGATCAGTTAAATTAAAGACTTTATTCCGATGGTAGAACATTATTAACTGTACAGTGAGTATAAAGACATTTTGATTGATTGTTGTTCCAAAGGAATTTAGTCTAGGTGGTCTATTAAACATACAGTTCATGAAAATCTAATTGAAGCGACGGTTATGTCCGCCATTTGTGACAACGGTATCTGACTTAAGCGTTGTCAGGCTATTCCGGTATGGATTTGGGCTGGAGTGAATATGAACTGGTCTATCATATTTGTAATAAACATATATAGTGTAACGGCCCTGGATAGCAAGTTGCTACTACAGCCTTTATAGCTTAGTTGGTAGAGCATAAGTCTTTGGATCCTAGGGTCACGGGGTCAATAGATTGGTGGCAGCGGTGGGATCAAAACATTGGTTGTATACTTTGTGCCCATGATGTGTATGTGTGTTAAGTCACTGCTAGTGAAAGCAGGGCTGACTATGTAATAAAATGGGCTTTTTTAGTGCAGTTGAATCACTGAGTTAGATTAAAATGCTATTTGGAAGAAAGCATAAACATATTGTAATTCACTATAGATAACCATCAACTGGTTAATGTATGTGTGTGTTCCATGTGTTTCAGGTCCTGGCCATCCAATGAAACCACATCGTCTCTCACTGACACACAGTCTTGTTCTCCATTATGGCATGTACAAGAAATTACAGGTATTTCATATAAGTTGTTGATGTAACCAAACCAGTCTTATACAGGAATATAATTTGAATTAGTATAGATAAATATTGGTATTTAAAAAGTTAAAGGTGCAATAATTAGTGCAGAGGGGTCATTCAACGATCATGGACCAGTGTCAAAATATATTTAAGTTTGGATATTTCATCAAGACTAACATCTATTTTTATTATCTACAAAGAAACCCCCTAGATAAACATTATTTTAGCTGATATTCCTCTTGAAACATGGTGGATCTTAAAAATATAAAAGTGGAAGTCCCCTTTTTGAAGCTTTGAACTGAATTTACACTTCTTAATGCTGAAATTGATAATTTATCCATACATTTTAAGAAAATAGGTATGTCAAAGAAGATGTTAAACCAAATGTTGCCTTGATAGCTCAGAAAAAATGAAAAAACTTTCCTATTTTCTCTACAGTCCTTATTGCCCCTTTAAATAATACTACATTAGTACATCACTTTGCTCTCTATTGTACTGTAGGTTTACAGACATAAGGTTTTTATTGTTTTGTCTATATTTTTTGTTTGTAAATAAAATACTTATATTGTATGGTTAAAAGGCATTTTTGCTTGTTAACCAATCAGTTTTTGGACTTTTTGGTCCAGAGTTTGCCATACTAGAAATGTTAAAAAGATATTTCACACTCTCAATTCATCAAACATTATATTGGATTTTATTTGTATTTTTAGGTTTACAGGCCATACAAAGCCTCTAGTCATGATATGTGTAGGTTTCACTCTGATGATTACATAGACTTCCTACAGAGACTCACCCCACAGAACGTGGGGGCCTTCACCAAGAGTCTTAGTTTATTCAATGTTGGCGATGATTGGTGAGTTAGTCTGAACGTATTCATGTATAATACAGTATCAGCTTAGTCTTGTATCTATCCCTTGTGAATGAGGTTCTCTACAGGAGGTTGAAAAGGGAGTAGATGGAAGACTAGTTTGGTTTTATGCTTCAATAAAAGTATTTCATGTATTATTGTATATTAGTTTAAATAGATGGCAGAGTAGTATACACCCATAGGGCTCAGGTTGTAATTGATGGGATGTTTTAGATGACCCCAAAAAACAATGAGAAGTTCATATGTATATTTAGTTGCAGATTTAAACAAAATTAAAGACATAAGGGGGTATTTCTCATTTTTGCAAACCAAAATGTATTTTATGAAATTGGTCAGTGCTTTTCCATAATTTTTTTCAGCTGAACTCTACATATTGAATATATTATATATCTATAGAACCAGTATGATCAGTATGGAACATGTGTGTTTTTTATTATGTTTTTCAGTCCTGTGTTTGAAGGAATGTATGATTTCTGTGCCCGTTATACAGGGGCGTCCCTAGAAGGTGCAATAAAACTCAACAACAAAGTTAGTACATTTACTGTTCATACATATTATTATACAGTATATATTATTATCCCAATGTACAAAGTTCAATAGGGATATACTGAAGCCATTCTTCTGTCCATCTGTCTGTGTCAAGAGCATAACTCAAATACAAGTTGACTGATGATTTTCTTCATATTCACTGGAAATATGTTCAATAGTAAGTGGTGAATAATATTTATTTGAAATGGTTGCATTAAAGTTTTTCATTTCAAATCAAAGTAATGAGTGGACTTTGATAGCATCTACCTAAGATATATCTACATGTACGAGGGGTGATCAGGAATTTCTGAACCATTGGCTTTATTTTTGCCATTTTTTATCCTTTCCTGTTAATCTTTTACACATAGGATCAAACCATGAAGATTTCATTGTTCTATGACATCATTATTCCCAAGGGGAAGTTTGGGGATCGAGAAATGTGACTATGAAATTGGAAAACTTCCTTCATCCTGAAATATACTGCTAACAAAAATTCTCCTAACAAAATTATTTTTCAGAAGTAATTTTTTGAGAAAGCATTATTAGATGTACACACTTCAAGTAAAACCTGTTAGTGGAACCCATCCAGTTGCCCATTTACTTTATATAAAATGGAATACTATTTCAAAGACATTTCTCATTTTACTGTATTGTACTTTCATATTTATGTCCATATTATTTTCCAGCATGCTGATATAGCAATAAATTGGTCAGGTGGTCTTCACCATGCCAAGAAGTTTGAGGCATCAGGATTCTGTTACGTCAATGATATTGTCATTGCAATATTAGAATTGCTCAAGTAAGTTAAACATATATTTATTTCCATATTTTACAACAGCAAAATACATATACAGCACAATACATATGCAGCACAATACATATGCAGCACAATACATATGCAGCACAATACATATGCAGCACAATACATATGCAGGAGAAACAAGCCTGAGTCAATACATTGTTGGCTTGTTTTAAAATGTACAATATATATTTTCAGTGTATATAGATGAATTAGAGTCAAAATAGAGGCTTATTTTAAGTGATGTCATTTACATACATATATACTTACATATAGACAGCTGTTCTATGTAAATACAAGGTATTATGCACCAACAAATATAATCCAATGTTACAATGCACAACAAGCACACACATGATTTCTTAGCCATCATTTTCTGTGTATTTTTCATACATTTTTCATGTAAATATTGACTTGAAACTCAGAGTAACTTATAATTTTGATTTACATTTAAAATTCACATGAAATGTTTGACTTGAATCATTGAGTAACTTATATAACTGTCCAAAGCTAGAAAATCACTTGTGAGCGATGGACTAGTATTCACTTCAACAGAAAAATGATTTGTGTAATATTACTTTCTATTTACAATCGAGTACCTGAATATACATTTTCATAATTTTCTGTGTTAGTTTCAACTGTAATGTTTACATTATCAATAACATGCTTGTTACTTGATCCTTTATCTGGCTCAGCCTCAACTCCTTCATTCTTACTCGATACATTTTTGTTATGCACTTGTTTATTTCTCTTAATTGGATCTGTTTTGAGGTCAGGCTGGCCCATGGCAACATGTATAGAGTCATTTGTGTTTGTAAGTGTTGTGTCACATGAATCTGAATGGGATGTAGTTTTAGTGGTGCCCAAAACCTTTTTATTCCAAAGATTTAACCAAATGGGCCTTCTCACCACGAATGCAATAAAGATATACACTCCCTGACTTGCATTCAGCACAATAAAAACATACCAAAGAACTGTGTGAAATGACGCAATGAATGCAAATATCCATGTTAAACCCATAAGGCAAAATAATTTGACATATATACCAAATGGGTATTCAGTTTCTTTGTTCATAGTTTTGGCTCTTTCTGACATTGATCTCCACAATGAAATTGCAGTTGGAATGAAAAATCCAAAATTTGTAACCAAAGTGACGCCTATAGGAGCTAAAAAGAATATAATTAGAGGGTACCTTTGAGATATCCAGCAAAAATCACTGCCTTTGCCATACATGGGCTTGAATACAGGGTTGATGTCTGAGAAATCTAAGCCCAGAGCTATTGCTATTATAACTAATGGAATACCCCATGCTATAAGTGAATATACCAAGAATCTCAATCCAGAACTATCAGATGATTTGGCAAAGCTTGATGGGCGAAACATAAAGAACATATCTCTTGATATTAGAACTGTCCATGTGAATGCAACGAGATAGCTCCAGTGGATCAAAACCCCAAGTGTAACGCATAGTTCTTTGATATGAGTACAATTTGGCCCAATCAAAAAGAACAAACTAGCAAGAAAAAGTGACAGAACCAGTGAAAATTGCAACTTGCCAGGGAAGTTCTGAAATAATGGAACGAAAGGCTGTAGAATGAGTCTGATGAATAGACAAATAAGTGACAGAGCCGAACAAATGATAGACACCAATCCCATTGTGTCATCAAACTTTCTAAGTGTAATTGTCTCAGGTTCAGTCTCATTAACACACACATATGTTATATTTCCTATCAAAATAGGAGCATCTTTCATGAGTCCTGAATCAGGTTTAGAAAGCCTTGGAATGGTTTCATTCTGATGCATGTTTTCAGCTGAAGAATTACTTGGCTTCCTTGGGCAGTCTGTTTCATTTGATTCCGACACACACAAACCATCTACATATATGTATCCATTTAAACAAAATGAAATACATGTCACATCTGTGTCATTCAGATTACACCCTAACTTCCTTGAGATAGTGTTACATTTAGACCCGACATCTGTACATCCATCTGTAGGTACAAAGTCAACCAATATCCCAAATGAGAATTTTGCAAGGTTTCCTTGGCAATCCAAACTTCGTTTTTTCCTCTTTTTTGAACATCCACGGATATCGGGTGAGATACTGTCACAACTTAGTTCTGTACTGTCATATTCCAGTGGTGACCGACATATATAACAGTACATGTTTCTGTACACATTGAAGAAAATCTTGCTATTAAAGACTGGTGACTGTGGTCCATTTTCACACATGTCCACGTATTTCCCAACACATTCTAACTCATTGTCACCACAACTCGATATAAGATGAAAACATCTGTTAAATTGCCCGCTGTATTTCACCACACATTCAAACGTTTCAATGTATCCCAAAAGTGTCTTTGGTGAATCAATGGAGGCCTTTGTCACATTTTCTGAACATGCCACTTCAAAGTCCCATTGTTTTAAATTGTTCGCCTTGCTACACTTAGCACAGAAGTAATTCTTGTAAGTAACTCCAGTTAATTGTGATGTAACAGGCACCATTTCTGTGAACTCATTCACATCATTTTCACATTTCGACCGGGTGTTGTCATAGGGGTAATCATCAGGGCAGGAATCAACCATCCAGAAAGAATTTAGTGTGTATAAGTCACCATATACATGAGTACAATGATGCTTTGGATGTCCTGTTTGTAACAGTAGTTGCATATTCTCTGCACCTTCTTCATGGAGATGTGGACATACTATTTCAAAGTCTTCGCAACAGTTTTTCGTTATCATACACACTGGATGACAAGAGCAGACACTATCTTCTCTAATATCATCATCAATGCTTGAGATCCCCTGGATCCCACAACGGTTGTTACATGTATATCTGCCTGAGGTAAGATTATGTGAAGATAAACACTCTGGTACATCTGGCTGCCATTCCTCTGATGTACATGGTACTGTGAGATTATCCTCAGTAGGCCATTGAGAAGATGTATCAATACTTTCAACTTCATCATTAGCCCCTTTGTTAATGTCCTCAATAATATCAGTATTAGTGGTTTCTTGAACATTTTCTGAAGTATTATTGTGTTCAATCTTCCCTCTAATCGCAGATGTTTCCTTTGTTGTGGTCTCAGTTGTTGAAACGCTATTAGGTGTGACTACAATAGGCGTAATTATATCTGCGTCTATTGCTACAGTTATACGAGAATTCTCAATTTCTGCCAAAGTTGTATTTGGATTCTCATCTCCTGTTGATTTGCTTATGGATCCATCACTGTTTTCAGTTTGCGCTTTAGCTGCAAATTTACTCTCCTCGAAAATCACAATAATACATGTTATGTAAACTACTAGGTTATACTTTCGCTGACCCATTCCCCTCATTGTCCTACTGGTTGCTTCAAGGTGATTTGTTCAAGATACTATTACTACTATTATTAGTATTAATGCTAGTAGTCATTTTTTGTTATAACCTTTTATACATTTTTCTGTTTTTTATCTCATTATATATTATCTGCATTTAGTTATGAATATTATCGCAGAGTCAATCAAATAAGTTGTAAATATAAGTCGATTAGTTCATAGATAACAATAACGTCAGATGCATTAATGGCATTAATGGATTGTAGTACTATGTTATTAGTAGATTGGTTTTCGGACAGAGTGGCAGAACCATCAAATTTATAAATCCCCAGTGAGAGTTATCCATCACTGTCATAGAAATAAATATCAAGGGAATTTTACTTGACTCTCTACTTTTAGAGCAATAGGACATTGTAGTTAAGCTGGGGGTCATTAACAGAAGCTTAGAAAAAATAGGAATTAGTAAGTCATTGGTATAACCATGGGTATTAGGATGTCACAGTAAGAGAACAATGAACTTTACGAATCATTCCTTTGTTAATGGCTCCCAGAAACATGATCATACTACGCTAAGGGCAGATGTGAAAAAGTCACTCTACCTCTGTTAAAAACTCATATACATGAGCAATGCTTGAGGTATTGTAATTGTTGGATTTTTATTAGGTCACTCTGTAAAATGGAATATGAAATTGACTCCTGTATTGTAATCTTGTTATCTTGTGTGGAATATTTTTATATTAATCATCCATTTATGCATCAATTATTACCTAAGTCTATCTCAATTAGAAATGAGCATTTTTGCCATAATTTGCAGTAGAAGTGTTTGCACATAAAAAAGCTATATGTTGCTGATGGAATGCCTCTGTCATAAATGAATTTGTGATTCCAAACTTTTTCCTCAGTTCTAATAATCTATAAAGCTAAAAAACAAATAATAATCTCTTTTTTGTTCATAGCAATGTAAAAGTTCAACATGGTACAATATGAAGTTATTCTTTCATCTTAGGAAAGTTGTAACTTTTGGAAGGGTTAATGGGCTCCTATGATTGCAATAATAAAAAAGAAGAAGTTATATCAACAACAGGAAACTAGGTATTATTCAAAATGATAATTTACCAAGGTCACGAAGTATATAAATGTACATGTGCTATATAAATAGTTCAATTCAAATAAGCTTTTTAATCATTTTTGTATGATTTTCATATCTGGCATCAGAAACAAAGTTGTTGGTCAGTTCCACATACTATACCAGTGTATTTGGTCAGTTAGATACTTTGATGAACCAAGACAAAGTTTTAGAAGGTATGCACCATTGGAAGGTATGCATGAGACCCCTACCACATCGAACAAGATCATACATTGACATGCAATATTGTTATATGGTGTGGGATTTGTCACTACTACAAGAGTGCATATTCCTCATAATCAAAATTTGATCAATTATCATTGCTCCCAGAGTGGAGGAATTAACAAACGCTCATGTCTATTTTATGGGCATCCAAGCTTAACAGGTTATTTACACCATTTTTTCAGCTTTTTTATTTATTATTTCATCATATGACCCCACTAAATGCTACTGTTTTCTAACCTTTATAACGTAAATCTTTCCTGTAATACAAACTAAGGTTTTTCCATTTAAGTTCATCCTCATCTAAAACTGGCAAAAACATTGGTTTTGGGTACAAACACTTTTTACTTTTAAATAGCGTGCTAGGGCCCACATAAATTTTCCCTTCAAATGTTCTACTTTTGTATTGTAAACATTTTCTGAAATTAACCATTGCCCATGTCCAGTTAGTCATTGTGTTTAAGAAGATAAACTGGTTTAGTTCTCTCGCATCTTTATAGGTGTCATCCTTTACCTTAGGTGCCCCAGACTGATGGACTACTTTTGTTGACTCTGTTATATCAAATGTGACGACTCCAATTTTGTTTGCATAAACCAAGAGAAAGGAATCAAAAGCTGGAACTGTGATGATAAAATCTGGAAACCTGTGCCAGTTGAAACTTTCCTTGGAGCAGATGAAATAATCCATTGCGTATCGGTAATTCTTTTTGGTATGTGCAGCCCCAAAAATTTCTAATATTTCAGTGTCGTTTCCAGATGTTAGCGTTTTTGTTTTATTTAGTTTACTTCTGAAGAATGTATTTTCCCGTCTACCACCTAATATCAAGAATTCTCGAAAATGTTGTTGTCGTGTGTAATTCTGAATTGTTTTTAGTGAAGCATCAAATTTATCTCCATGGAAAAGTATATCTCCATTGCAGAAGGCATACAGAGAACTGGGCCATCTGTTTTGAACCTCAATATACATACGTTTTAGAACTGGGCGTCCTCTGGCCATCATTTTTGATGTGAGAAAGATAGAATGAACATTACACTGAAACTTGTTATCCCCCGATAGCTTTCGAATGATTTCTGTTGCTTTGTTAAGAGTTTCTGTTAATGTAGATTTTGCGTGCATTGCAGAATAAAACACGGCAAGTCTATATCCATGATTTTGCTGTAGGTTACACCAGTTCAGTATGGTGTTGTTCTGTATGATGTACCTCGTAGGTTCACGTTCTGAAAATGTAGTGAACAGTGTTAATAAAGGCTCCTTGAGATCAGTGTTGAATTTAGGTAGAGGAATCCTCTTTGGGTATAATCTTACATATCCAAAAGGTGTCCCGGTTAGCTTAATCCATAAAAGAATATAAAACATCAAAATAGAAATTATGATCAGTTTTTTCGTAACTCTCTTCATGATTTTGCATGTGTTATATTTGTATGCAGTTTGAAAATGAACGATGAAAAGAATTAATATTTGTTTTTCTCTTCAAGAAATGTTTGCTTCAATTCTATAATGGTTTACTCCATGTATGGATTATACTGGAATCTCTCAATCAAAAACAAATAAAGCAACCCAAAAGTACTTCGCAAAAAACCTAGTTTTGATATGACCTGCCATCCCTTGTAATCAAGTCTACTGAGAAAAATGGTGTTTTATGTTCGAACAGTCATACATACATTGTACTTGTAATGAGAGTGCTCCTTTTAATTTAAGAGCATCCTTTGTTAAATGATTTTAATATACTGTTTCTAAAACAGTTGTACAATGTGCCAAATAAGCCAAAAATAGGCTGGATATAAATCATATATTGTAAGATAATCAGAATTGTAAGATATAAGTAGACATAAGTAGACATTAATGCATAGCCATTTAATGATTTATTGTTTATAAGTTTAAAAAATCTCAAATTCTTTTTGTTTAAAATAGAAACTAAGAAAAGCAATGTCAGAAGTTCAGATTTGTGTTAAATTGTTCTGAATTTTTTTTATATTACTTGAACGATCACTACAGGTACCACCAACCTGTGCTATATTCAGACTTTCACCGAGGTGTCTATGACATGGTGTATTACTGTATTATGACATTCACCATGGCAAACATGACTTTATCAAAAGTTTTCTATTTGTATTTGCTGGTATCACAAGTGTATTGTATTGAAGATTCTCACCATGGTGAAACACTTGTTGCACCACCAGCTTGTGTTATATAACCCATTCACCTTGGCAAATTTTTTTATTTTTTAGGCATCACCAGCGTGTGTTATACATAGATATAGACATTCACCATGGTGATGGTGTACAAGAGGCCTTTTATCTGACCGATCGTGTCATGACTGTTTCATTCCACAAATATGGCAACTACTTCTTTCCTGGCACAGGTATGTAGAACAAAAGTATTACTCAATGGCAATATCCACGCCCCCTTTGTCTTGAACTTTCCATAATGGTAAAATTCAAAAATTTTCAAATATTTAATACCATATGGAATATGCTGTAGTATGTGACATAAGTAGTGATGAATCAGAGATTAGATGGAAAACTGTGGACAATTAGTAAAATTATGAGTTGCCTGGGTGACTTACCCATGAATAAAACAGTTTAAAACCTTTGAAGTCAACTCGCAATGTGCCAGGCCAACTTGATGTAGTAACTCAATAGACTAGATGCGAGTAGAAATAATCTTGATTTACGTCATTAAATTACGCCACCTGGTGGTGAATCTGGTAACTAATTACTTGCATCTGCATTATTAGAATCTAAGAGGCAATGCGATATAGTTATTCCACTTCTAGTAATATGTATTTATAATCCATGCTCTACATGTATTATAATATATATTTTTAGGTGACATGTACGAGATTGGCTCTGAAAGTGGGCGCTACTACTCAGTCAATGTTCCATTAAAAGAGGGGATTGATGATGCAAGTGAGTTAGTTTTCCATGTAAATTCAAACTTATTTTAACAATTTTTATGTCATGCCAACTTTTTGTGGATGGTGTTCGTCATTCATCGTTTGTGTTTGGCAGTTGGTGTCTGTAACAAATGGTAGGTGGTGACATTTTGCAAGTTTAAAATGCCTTGTATAGACTAGATAACGTTTACATATTAATAGAAACCCAACAATAAAATCAAATCCATACAGCATACTGAATTTCGAATATTCATATTGCACAGAATCTTTTTTTTATCTGAACGTTTGTTTAGCATATCTAAAGTTAGGACATTAGATCTGTATATAGTTCAGCATTAAACATATTGTCAAATAGTTATGATAAATAAACCTGGAGCAAGCATATTTAGCACATTTGGATATAATCCGGAGTAATTTTACATGCTACTCTATTTAGCAATAAATAAGTAGCAATATAAATAAGTACTGGTAGACAGTAAAATATTTGATAATGTGTCAGGCACGTAGCCAGAATTTTCCAAGGGGGGTACACTTTTCCAAAAAAATCTAGGGGGGTTCACTTTGGCAAATTTGGCCAAAAATCACTCAAAAAATAGTCAGAATGGTGAAAAACTGCATGATTTTCAAAAAAAAATCATTTCAGATTTCATATTTCATTTGTTTGGAATACAATGAATAAACTTGGATCCTTTGTTTTCTTATATTTGTTGCCATGAATTAAGTAGGTCCAAAATTATAAATGACCCCAGAATGATTAAAAAGGTCAAGATGACCTTTGATTTAATTATATTTATCAAAGTAAATCATTTATTTATTTCAACCATTTTGGTATTTTCATCAACTCTTCCAGATTTAAGTTTTATGGAAAATCAAAATCTTCCTCAACCAAGGGAAAGATCAATACCCGGTGATTTCAGCGGGAAGTGGCGTTTCGTTCATTGGATGAGCTGCGCGCGCACGCATAAATGTGATTATCCAATATAATTAGGGGAGGGCTATTTGAAGTAGTTTTTGGTCTCAGGCGCGACCCAGGGCTGTTGTCTTAAGGACATTTCGTTGAAAATGAGCCATTCGGCTGATAATTGGTAAGAGTTTGCGATCTTATAATGTATAACTGTTACTCAGACACATATTTTGACACGATTCTGTTGGAAATAAGCTTTGAACCGAGAGATATTCACGATTGATATGCACATTTTTGATTGTGCCATTGCTTTTCTATTGCACAATCCATGTATTGATAGAAGAAACATTAATAATACAGATTGGTTTACCTTCAATACATGGCAGACACTACATATCGGTCTATTAATACCAGTTTGTGCCTTCAATAGTTTTATATTTCCATCCACGGCCTGGAGCCTGGGTGTGTTTGTCTCTTATGTGTATGCTTGTGCATGGACTTCTAATCACTAGCAGAATTTAACATGATGCAAACTCGACATTATAACTCATGCTGTAACATTTTGACTTCGCTGGAAAACAATAGGAATTCTTTTTTCTTGCCAATCAATCATGAATCACAATCAAAATTTCAGAATGATCAATCAGGCAATGGTCCAAATCAAGTTATAACATTATATGATATTCAGCAAGAAGTCCGGTAGAAATACAGAATATTTTAACATCAAAGCTGAAAGTTAAAAGCTAATCTGTCAATTTTCTGTCTGCAAAAGAGCGTCCCAAGAGCGTTTACATTTGACACAATAACAGACTGAGGCTTTGAAATCTAGGATTCCCCAGGAAAATATGACGTCATACTAATTAGCATAAGGATTTCCCTATTGGGGTGGGTCGAGCCTTGTTCGAAAACACAATCCATAAATACATGCTAATTTCTAAGGAGATAGGAAGTGTATAACGTGTTTATCGATTTTGTTTAAAGATTTAATCAATTATCAAATTGTTTAAGTGGATAAAGTGGTCACACTTGCTTCAATTCATAGCGAAATCGATGGATAGAAACTGACCGAATTCCCGATATCCTACCCCGTATTACTGTAGGCTATAAGCACAGTGACCTACAGAGGGCGCTATCACAAACAAGTACTGGACGAACCGATAAATTCCCGGGTATTGTAACGCCCTTGCCTCAACAAGCTAAATTCAGTTTACTTTGTGCATGTGACATTTGATTGACAGTCCTATTTTTACACTTTCCATATTTGGAATGCAATATATTACATGTACAAAATTTCCAAGGTCAAGCTGATCTGGTAACTTTCTAAGACAATTTAAAACTGTGATTTTCTCTGAAAAGCATCAATTTCTAACTTACATTTCTCAGATTTAGCACATATTTATGAAAAATAACCTTTAAAACCATTCTCAGGAGTCCATTATCAGAATATTTATGAACTTTTAATTATAAATTGTGTTTATTTAAAGGGAGATTTTGAAGAATATTATAACCCTATTTCGTCAAAGAATTTCCTTGACAATAGTATAGTTTCCATATAGCTTTTGAAATCTCGCTAAATCTCGTTTTTCGTGAGATTTTAAGAGACTTGCATATTAGACCTCTAATGACTTACATTACCTTCTTTTAAATGGTATATTTGAATTCAGTGGAATGTTTTCTCCTAAAATAGCTTTGATTTACACAGTTATGTAATTTGAATAATTTTCTACGACAATTTAAAAAAAGTTGGGCCAAATGTCCATAGATGCAATGCTAAAATTCTTTAAAACCGTGGATTATTTGTATGTCAATCAACATTAGCATGTTTAATCACAACATGTTCATAAACAGGGTCATCATGTGGTATATCATTCAAGTTTTATACAGATTCAACAAACACACTTTGATAAATCATGAAATTAAGCCACTTTTCCAAGATTTTAGCATGTAAGTGAATGGAGCTCTAGCCAGAGTTAAAAGCTGAATAAAAGATGGCAGCACGAGATTTCATTGATTTTTCTGCTATTTAGAAACTATCCTATTAGGATTTTTAAATCATTTAAAGGAGCCATTTGAGATATCATTTTATCAAAAATAAAATTCAGAAATTTATTATTTTCCCATGTGAGTTTAAACATAGATAGGATTACCATGAAATAAACTTAAAAAGTAGTCCTGTATTTGTAATATTTTGGCTATCCTGGCTCTTATATGAGTATAAGAGTACCTGCATAAGCATGATCATCTACCTTTGCTGAGCTTTTATCAAGTCAAAGAAGCTTGTTTCATCTTTATGGGAAAGGATGACTGAATCAAAGTTAGTCATATGAGAAATTAATGTTGTGGTTTTATGTCAAGGTTGTAGTCTTTCATCAGTCCCATGTGTTGCCTAGCATCTTCATTTCTCTGATCTTGCTAAAAGCAGGTCTAAATAATTACACACCGGAAAAGCCTGACAACGGTAAAGTGATATACCGTTGTCACAAATGGCGGACATAACCGTCCCTTCAATTAGATTTTCATGAACTGTATGTTTAATAGAGCACCTAGACTAGAACAACAATCAATCAAAGTGTCTTTATACTCATTGTACAGTTAATAATGTTCTACCATCGAAATAAACTCTTTGATTTAACCGATCAAAATGAGATACGGGACAACGGACACTGTATTACCATATGCCGTTGTCTTTGTTAATTATTTCAAATTCAGATTCTGTTGTCAATGACGATATCGAAGATGCTATATTGTGGCGATTCACAACCAAATTTGATTGAAATTGGGATTTCATATGATACATCATCACAAGAGCTTAATACATGCACAGAATTAGCGAGGATAAAGTCCCATGAAATGAGGACCAAGTGATTAAAGAGTTGAAGTGATGGTTATGTCCGCCATTTGTGACAACGGTATCTGACTTTATCGTTGTCAGGCTATTCCGGCGTGAATTAGGAGTAGGGGATTTTAGGCATGATTCAAGGTTACAAGTGCTACAAGACAGTAGAAATGCAATGCCAAGAATTTAAGCCATCAATTGAACTTTGACTAGTTTAAACCTTACATCTTTTCACATTCTAATGAGATTTTTGTATTTCAGCATACATGTCTATATTCAAGCCTGTTATTCTCAGTGTAATAGAGCACTACCAACCCTCAGCAATTGTGCTGCAGTGTGGCGCTGACTCCCTGGGTGGAGATAGGCTTGGGTGCTTCAATCTCAGTGTCAAAGGTCACGGGTAAGTACATGTACTTAGTACTACATGTTTCATCCAAGTACTTTTTTATCCATTTATGTGTTATTATACTGGTGCCAACTTTACATTTAATGAAAATTAACCCGCTTCTTGTACTTACTCTTACTGTATTTTGGATATTTAAAAAAAACATTTATACTCCTGTAGCATTACATAGGCGTAGCTGTGATGGGTGCGATCCCCCCCCCCCGACATTTCCAAAAAAACATGAGAAAAACCAAGAAGAAAGGAGCTTTTAAATGCTTTTATTTGTAAAATTCAAAATAAATATTATTTTTGGCTCACACAGTGAGCCTATGGGATTGACCAGGCGTCCGTCCGTCTGTTGGTCCGTCCGTCCGTCTGTCCGTCCGTCCGTCCGTCCGTCAACATTGGCCGCACAAATTAAAACTGCTATTCGGATTGAGTCATATCCACATTCATTTTATGCATATCCATAATGCCTATTTGACCTATCATCGCCATTTCCCAAGTTCGCCCGGTTTCCGAGAAATTGCGGATTTTGACGTCAAAAAGTCAACTTTTTATGTCACCACCAAAAAGTGGTGACATATTGTTATGGTCTCCGTTTTTTTGCGACGGCGGTTGGTGGTTGGCGTCCGGCGTCTGGCGTCCGGCGTCTGTAACAATTTCTTACAACTTCCTATAACTTAACAAATACTGTTTAGACTGACTTCAATTTTTTTCTAAATCATCTACATCTTCTCAGAAGTTCAAATCTGACTTTATATTTGACATTTGACCTTCAATGACCTTCTCAAGGTCAAAAAGGTCTTTTTTCAACTTGCTTCACATTGACTAAATTTTTTTTCAAAATCATCTACATGTTCTCAGAAATTCAAATCTGACTTTAGATTTGACATTTGACCTTCAAATCTGACTTTAGATTTGACATTTGACCTTCAATGACCTTCTCAAGGTCAAAAAAGGTCAAAAAGGTCTGTTTTCAACTTGCTTCAAATTGACTAAAATTTTTTTTCAAAATCATCTACGTGTTCTCAGAAATTCAAATCTGACTTAAGATTTGACATTTGACCTTCAATGACCTTCTCAAGGTGAAAAAGGTCTTTTTTCAACTTGCTTCACATTGACTAAATTTTTTTTCAAAATCATCTACATGTTCTCAGAAATTCAAATCTGACTTTAGATTTGACATTTGCAAATCTGACTTTAGATTTGACATTTGACCTTCAATGACCTTCTCAAGGTCAAAAAAGGTCAAAAAGGTCTGTTTTCAACTTGCTTCAAATTGACAAAATTTTTTTTTCAAAATCATCTACGTGGTCTCAGAAATTCAAATCTGACTTAAGATTTGACATTTTACCTTCAAATCTGACCTTCTCAATGTCAAAAAAGGTCAAAAAGGTCTGTTTTCAACTTGCTTCAAATTGACTAAAAAAAATTTCAAAATCATCTACGTGTTCTCAGAAATTCAAATCTGACTTTAGATTTGACTTAAGATTTGACATTTGACCTTCAATGACCTTCTCAAAGTCAAAAAAGGTCAAAAAGGTCTTTTTTCAACTTGCTTCAAATTGACTAAAATTTTTTTTCAAAATCATCTACATGTTCTCAGAAATTCAAATCTGACTTTAGATTTAACATTTGACCTTCAATGACCTTCTCAATGTCAAAAAAGGTCAAAAAAGTATTTTTTCATCTTGCTTCAAATTGACTAATTTTTTTTTTCAAAATCATCTACGTGTTCTCAGAAATTCAAATCTGACTTTAGATTTGACTTAAGATTTGACATTTGACCTTCAATGACCTTCTCAAAGTCAAAAAAGGTCAAAAAGGTCTTTTTTCAACTTGCTTCAAATTGACTAAATTTTTTTTTCAAAATCATCTACATGTTCTCAGAAATTCAAATCTGACTTTAGATTTGACATTTGACCTTCAATGACCTTCTCAATGTCAAAAAAGGTCAAAAAGGTATTTTTTCATCTTGCTTCAAATTGACTAAATTTTTTTTTCAAAATCATCTACATGTTCTCAGAAATTTAAATATGACTTTAGATTTGACTTTAGATTTGACATTTGACCATCTCAAGGTCAAAAAAGGTTAAAAAGGTCTTTTTTCAACTTGCTTCAAATTGACTAAATTTTTTTTTCAAAATCATCTACATGTTCTCAGAAATTCAAATCTGACTTTAGATTTGACATTTGACCTTTAATGACCTTCTCAAGGTCAAAAAAGGTCAAAAAGGTCTGTTTTCAACTTGCTTCAAATTGACCAAATTTTTTATTCAAAATCATCTACATCTTTTCAGAAGTTCAAATTTGACTTTACAAGTTCTCAGAAGTTCAAATCTGACTTTAGATTTGACCTTTGACCTTCAATGACCTTCTCAAGGTCAAAAAGGTCTTTTTTCAACTTGCTTCAAATTGACTAATTTTTTTTCCAAAATCATCTACATGTTCTCAGAAGTTCTTCTTAAGGTCAAAAGGTATTTTCCAACTTGCTTTAAATTGACCAAATTGTTTTAGGTGGTGACATTTTGTCATGTTAATGCCTTGTCTGTAAATACTAGACACTTTGTTGAAGTAGAACTTTCAAATAACTTTTAGTAGTTCGTGTATATGCAACTTATGTCCTCTGAAGATTTCAAAGCTCTTGGAATTACGGTTTTTGGTGTTTACTCTATAAAATTTGAAAAAAAGTAGGACTTCGTCATTTTCAGGAAACTTTCTCATGTATAAAGTCAATGGCAGGTTTTGTGATTGACAAGATTCTTAAAGTTTGCCTTATACTTGATCATTTCCTGCAATAAATTACATCATTAATAGATTTAAGCATTCCCTACATATTTCTCAATATATGTCAGCATCAAATTTTTACCGTTTTTGAAATATTTGACGTCAAAAAACAGTAAAAATAAGTTATTTTTCAACTTGCTTCAATTTGACCAAATTTTTTTTGAAAATCATCTACAAGTTGCCAGGAGTTCAAATCTGACATTAGTTTTAGGATTTGACCTTTACTTGACCTTCAGTGACCTTCGAAAGGTAAAAAAAAGTTGTTTTTCAAATTGATTTTTGGATGTAAATTTTGGTCAGCTTAATCACAAAAGACCTTACTGAGCTCTGAATAAGTAAAATTTTCAAGGTCAAAGGTCATCAAACTAGGTCACATAACTATGCTATCTAAGTTTCTCAAAGTTCGAGACTACAAATCCAAATCAATATTTTTGTCTGAAAGTCAGGATATAAATTCCTCTGAAGGTTCCAAACTGTGTGAGCATAGGACCGTGGGTCCTTCATTTGGCTTGTACATGCCACAATCGCACCCCCCTGACTGAAAGCTGGCTACGCCCCTGTGTAGGTTTTATAAAATTGAATTTAGAATTACATTATCATTCTCCTATTGAATACTTTCAAAATTAGTTAAGCATAGAATTTGTCAAATTAAACATCAGACTTCTTTTAATGTTCAGTTGGAACATTTAGACCCATTTAACCATAAGTTTTACTTCAATTAACATTCTTGTATATACATTGCAGTGACTGTGTAAAGATGGTGAAGGATCTAGGCCTACCTCTATTGGTGCTGGGTGGGGGAGGTTACACGGTGAAAAATGTTGCTCGCTGCTGGGCCAGCGAAACTGCTGTCTTGATTAATGAAGATGTCAACAATGAATTGCCAATGAATGGTCAGTTTTTTTGTTTATAGCAATGAATGACCAATGAATGGTCAGTTTCTATAAATAACAATGAATTACCAATGAATGGTCAGTTTTTATCAATAATGATGAATTGCCAATGAATGGTCAGTTTTTATTAATAACAATGAATTACCAATGAATGGTCAGTTTTTATTAATAACAATGAATGGTCAGTTTTGATTAATAACAATGAATTGCCAATGAATGGTCAGTAAGGTTCTACATTTAACAGTACATGTACATATTCTCTTCATACCTTCATACATGTAGTATATGAATTGCATTTTGTTTTTCTTCAGAATATCTGGAATATTTTGCACCTGACTTCTCCCTTCACCCCGACATACTAACAAAAATAGAAAATCTCAACACTAAACAGGTAAGTGTTCCTCTAATATAGTCTATCTAATACAGAACATTCTCTCCATTTTAAATATTAACTCCCATGCCTCTTCAAAAGATTAATATTAAAACAGTTAATAAGTAAAGGGGGTTGACTTGTTCTGGGTTGGGTATATATCCTATGCACTTTGTTTTTGCCTTAAACCCAATCATTGGGTGGAGGTTTACTGTGGGTCCCATCAATATGTAAACTTTGTTAACATAAGAGGGAGTAAAACCCACCTTTGTTAAAGTAAAACATTGAAATTGACATATTGTTTCAACATCTAGGGCTCTAAGCATTTCTTAAGATAAAATAAGATCATAATTAAAAAAACATCAAAATATTGCACCAGCCCCTATTAGACAGAAATTGACTCAGGAGCTGTTCATTTCCAGTATCTAGACAGTGTTAAACAGACTGTACAGGAACACCTCAGGTGTTTAGACCATGCTCCTAGTGTTCAAATACAGGATGTTCCCCCAGATCTACTCAGTATAGAGAACTTAAATGAAGGAGATCCTGACATTAGGAACAATGTTGAAGACAGTGACGAAAGGTATAATACAATTTTCTCCTTACCTTTTTTGAAATAACAAACTTAAAAGATTTAAAAAATAAACAACACAATTTCTGGATTATTTTTACATTAAGTGTACGGTTAAAACATATCCCTATTGATCTATTTCCCTACCCATTACGTGGTGTAGGGTAAAATGTAAGGGAGAATGCTTGATGCAAAATTAGCTGATAATCAAATGCATTTCCTGCAAAACCTTTAATTTAGTGGAACCCTGGAAATGCAACAACTCTATAATAAGCGGAACACTTCAAAGTTTGATACCCATAATTTGTTAAAAATGAACCACTGCAAGTGGAACATATCCTAAATGGAACACTATTTTGAAGGAAATGCCATTGTACATTGGTTTTCCATTGAGAATTTCGATAGAATACAGAATATTTATTGTTAACATTTTTTCCAGGATTGATGCTGCCAATGAATATTATGATGGAGATAAAGACAATGATAAAGAGAATGAAGGATTCTTAGATGTGTGACCAACATGAAGTGCAACATTTAATATTATCAGAACCCACCAAGACATAATTCTAAATAAAAAATCAACTTTTGTTGAATTTTCTGAGTGAAAGGATAATTAAATGTGTTGGTATTTCAAAAGTGACAATGTGGGCCAAAGATCACAAAGTTCCACCCATCTTTGCATTTATAGTTTATCAGGAGTGATCGGTATTGTCAATGTGTGTGTGTTAACAGGTAATTCTGACAGACAATATGAGGCTCATTATTGAGATTATAGGTAGTAATTAAACTGACTAGAACGGTCTAAGATGTGTAATTTGAAATTCCACCATTTGGAGATTTTCTTGCAGTGTACATGTTTGAATATTTACAACAAAATTATGATTTTGATTTCTTATTTGAACCCTGCTTGTGTGAATAATTTGTGATCCCCAGGATTTTTGGGTGCAAAATCCTCATTTTCAAACTTCATATTTTCCAAGATTTTTCACAATTTCAAGTGTGTAGAAATTGATGGATGCATCTCCTCAAGATCTCAAATGGGTGCAACACCCACTTACTTTACACGATGTGCATGGACAATTGTACTGGAAGCCTTCAGCAGAACTGGTTTACATCATGTATGACATAATGAAAATTGTCATTGGATTATTAGCAGATGAGTGCTAGACTCGGTTTTCACTTTTTATAAGTCTTCTTGTTTTAAGATTGTTTTAGGGAGTGTGGGTTGGAGAAATATAAAAGCTCACAGAAAGATAATCTTCTCATTATACACGTACATTTCCAAAATATTGTCAGTGTAGCTGACCATTTTATACTTTTATGAGAAAAATGGTAACAAGGTTGTAGATGTATTTTTGTATATAAAAATGTATAAATATTGTAGATATTGTACTTTATGTCTAGATATATGTATAGAAATATAGGGATGTGCATGCATACATATTGAAAAAATACTGTGTTTTATTTGTCAAATGCAGGTTTCAAAAGTGAGATAATTTAACAATGATATCAATGTATATAAAAAATGTATTCTTAAAATATTTTTACGTTGCCAATAGTTTTTTGACCTTCTGTTTTTTTTTTAATTTTTGTTGCAAAAGTTATCAGTACACAATAGCCCTTATTGGTTAATTCTAGCAGGATAGTCACAAATAAAACCCAACATTATCTAGATTACAGAAATGCCAAGGTGTAGCAAATGTTTCCATATCAATATTATATTTTCATTATGTCTTAACCATACCTTTTTACTTCATGACGTTTCGTCCAGCTTGTTCGCTTGACTTTCTCAAACTGCTAGAAGTTGTAAATTGACCTTGAGAATTACAGGGTGTCCCAGAACTCATGAGAATTTTTTGAGGGAGATATAAGGCATGGGTGATTTTTCTTCAAATTTGGTACACTTACTAAACACTCTTTTGGGAATAACTGACATGAATTTCAGGCATATATCTTTTATATATCCGAATTTATTGACATTTGAATTCTACATCGCCATAAACCCCGGAGTTGTCGGGAAAATACAACAGTTTATGTCACATTTTGTCAATTTTATACAAAATCTCAACTATAAAACCAACGTCTTTTGTGTAAGCTTAGTTCAGTATTTTTCTCATATTGATGATGCACTTTGATGAAATGGTATATAAACTTTGAAAGAGACCCAATACATCAACATTGTGCATTTGGTTTGCTGAAAGATCATAATGCCATGTTCCCGAGGGACTGAAAGAAATGTCCCTTTTGCTAGCCAATATGATCTTGCATATTGACAATGCACCAGTGAATAAGTCACTACATGCATGTCAGTAGTGCATCCAATTTACTTTCTATTGAGACTTCACAATTTACATGTATAGTAGCTCCATATACTTGCCAAATTTTGCTCTACTAGACTTTTGATTTTTGGGGACCTTAAACAAAGATTAGTGGGCCATGTCACTGAAACGGAGGAAGAATTGAGTCATGTTGTTTCAGAGGACCCTACAGAAATGGCTATTGGACGATTTGGGAATGTGTATAAAGAGTAGCTGAAAAGACATCAACTGCAGATAATTTGCTATAATAACTCTGTAGAGATACGTTAGCTGAATGTGTATGATCCTATTGACTAATGTACTGAAAAGCTGAAATAATTCAATGAAAACAATGCTATTAGAGTAGAGAAGTTGTGTAGATATTATCAAAATGTGACGTAAATTGTTGTATTTCTCTGACTACTCCAGGGTTTGAGGCGATGTAGGACTCAAATGTCAATAAATTCGGAAATATAAAAGATATGTGCCTGATATTCATGTCAGTTATTCCTCAATGCTTGTTTATTAAGTGCACTTGATTTGAAGGAAAATCATTCATGCCTTATATCTCCCTCAAAAAATTCTCATGAGTTCTGGGACACTCTGTAAGTAGCACTTGGTGATTGTCTGAGTCTCTATTCATACATCTCTTGATGTAAATTGATTCTGTGGTTATTTCTGTGACCTTCATTGTCTATAACCTTGACATTATCAAAATCAATTTAATGGTTCATCTGACGCACATGATCAAGAGTAAGAGATCTGACAATATGAATAGAGACCAGGGTAATTAATTACCAACTTGCTGACAGTTGGCAAGTAATACATGAAGTGTCTGACAATCAGCAATATTTATTGATTACGGTGTCTGTAGGCTAGGCCATCGAAACGTCAAAATTAAAAGTAAATTTTTTTTGAGGTAGTGGAAGAGAACATTTTCATTATAAAGTCCTATATTTTGTAACTAAAATACTGTAAAACTGACACTAAATTGGTGGCCATTTTGGGAATCCACTTTTGAGCGGAATGTGTCCTCTCATTAGGTCAAATACATATAAACAATATTGGGCCAATGGTATTTAAATTATTGCCTGGACAAAAGGATGGAAAGTGCAGTTTTCTATATTCCCCAAACTTCATTTGATGGGATGGTTATGGAAGTTATTGTAGATTTAATCAATTTTTTACAAAAAATTATCTTCACAAAATATCCCTACCTGGTTGCAATAAAAAAGTGTTGAAATCTTGACACCAAACACTGGATACAAAAATGATGGCTAAATTTAACAATATGTCACTTCTTGGTGGTGACATAACAAAAGGAAAATCTGGGATAATTTAGGAGAAAAAATAAGATATGAAAAAGGAATCTAAAGCTTGCGAAAGGTGAGAGAAAAGGTTTCAGGAGATTTGTTTTGAAAAATATATATCCATGTACGAACAAAACATCCCCAAATGGAATGTAACTGCACCAAAATCCATGTATAACCTCAAATATTCAAAAATACAATTTCTCCTTGGAGTAATTTATTTACTAATACTTCGATCAATCTTCATCACTCCAAGTATCTGCTGTAACTTCAATCACATGATCTACTGGCGCTTCATCATTATAAGTCGCCATCCCTTTTTTACTTTTCTCAGCTTTCTGTTGCAGTATATGTGTGTCATAGGCTCTCTCAGTTTCTAACTGAGGAATCCATGTTAAAATGTTCCTATCATTGGCCCCACTGTATAACTCTTGCCAGTTCGAGTCATAAATACAACAATTAACCTGTCCGTAGTGACCTCGTAATGTTTTTACCCAATCACCAGTCTTAATTTCCATGACATCAATGTCATGGTGATTTGGCACGTAAACAAGATCATTTGAACAGTTTTGAGAGACTGCTAAATGAACTGCCTTCTTGTTATTGTTACCTATATCTCCATATTCTATATTGGTGTTTTTTCCATCTGAGGTTTTCCAGAGGCGTAATTTTTTGTCTATCCCAAATGTTAGAAGGTGTAGTCCGTCTGCTGTGAAACACAGTCCATTTACAGCTGAGCTGTGTGCACTTGCACCTGAAAATAACCAAGATTTAAATGTTTCTCTGTAACATTAGCAGAATTCAAATTCATTTAGCAATTTAGAAAATTGGAATCCAGCGCTGCAAAATACCATTTTTAAAAGTCTCTTGATGCCTATTCAAAGGCAAAAATGCACAACTTTTTTATTTTCATACATGAATACTATGAGACACCAACATCCTCTCGTAAGTGCGACTCAAAAGTAAATAAATACATACACATAAAAGACATGAGACTTACTTGATTTACTGTTGGAGACATCAGCTACATTATTCTTATCAAGGACCATGAGGCTTCCTTTGGCACTGCGGATGTCCCAGAGTCTCACTTTATTGTCTTGACTGAAACATTCACAATTATTGCTAACATACAGAAATTGTAAACTGATAAACTGTCTGTATAAGTTAGTTAATTACGTTATTGCTGTTACTGTATATAAAAAAATCAAAATCCATTACTGTGAAAAATAATCTTAATTATGTTCAGCATAGCAAATTGAATAAATAAGACATAAATAAATATTGCAATTTAAGAGCAAAATGGCTGTCAAGCCCATTAACACAAGACAATGACAATTAAAGGCAGAATTAGATCTATGGGGGTGACAAAATTACAAGCAACATGTACAATTGACCTACCAATCTATTCCTTACAGTCTCAAATACAATATCTCCCAAAAGATTATGTTATAAATCAGTAAAGTTACAATAGATTCAATGTGCAAAAATTGGTGAAAAATGTTTAAAGTCTCCCAAATAATAAGAATGGTAACCATTCTTATAGAAAAATAATACATTATTGTAAAATCTTTAGTTTTCCTAAAATAAAGTGTACACTTTTGGGATTTTTAGAAAATAGACATGAAAAGGAATGACTAGGCTGCTCGCTAGATCTGATTCTCTCTTTAATAGCACTCTTTCAAAGTGTGATAAAAATCCAAGATGTATCATACCTTCCAGAAGCTAAAACATACTCTTCCCTGGGAGACCACTTTACTGCATAGATTGGTCCATTGTGACCTTTCAGTATGTGAGATGCTGATCCAGTCTTCAAGTCCACAAGTTTTATCTTGGTACTGTTGGTCCCTACAGCTATCAGGGCATGGCTGTTTGCAATAGGGGACATGTGGTGACTGTATACTATGTCACTAAACTCAAACTCATCAGCAGGCTGGAATACAGTCATATAAGTATTTATCAGCTCACTAGTACTATAAATATCATGTAACAAGGCATAATCAAGCAAAATGTCACCACCTGCCATTTGTTACAGACACTGAACATCTCAACCACTACCAACCACAACAACATCCACAAAAAGTTGGAGACTATAACAATATGTCACCACATCTGGTGGTGACATAATAATACATAGATGAAATCTATCAGTCACTAATAACCAATTCAAGCATGAACACCATTTCCCACTGCTTTACAAGAAACATATATAAAAGCAGGTCAAATGCTCATTTTACCTTTAGTGTATTTGTGTCCCAGATCTTCATCAATTTGTCAGCTCCACTCGTAATGAACATTCCTGTATCGAAAGTGTACCACTGTACTGTGTAGACACTGAACTTGTGAACATGGCGATTGGACCGTCCTACTGTACATACTGTAGGGGTTGTGTAGCACAGGGATTTAGACAGATTGTAGGTGTCATATATGGCACACACTCCATCAGCTCCACCACTCAATAAACTGAAATAATTTTGGATGGGTTTAATGAATACAGTTGAGGCATGAGAATCGCATCTGCACTGGTGATCCACTCGATTACGCTGGTTTCTGTTACTGAAACAAACCGTTTCGGTAACAAAATGTCGGAACCTTGGGTAGGCAGAATTCTCGTGACATTTTTATAACAAACGTGTGTCAGTATCATATAATTGTGAACAAAGTAAACGGAACTTCGAAAAACGGTTAAGATCTGCACTTCTTAAAAAAGAAAAATCATACATTAAAGGTTTGCACATTATTGGAAGATGAACTAAAGAATGAAAAAGGTATGGCATTTGCATAAAAACGAGATAGGAAAAGGTGATTTTAGCAGATTTATTTTTTTGTAAAAACATCAATGTTTTGTTTCAGACATCGATGCATCGCCAGAATCACTTTTGGCGATAAATATCACGATGTATCGATTAATCACGACAACACTAACGGGGCACTAACCTAAGCCTCCAATGGTGAGATCTTATCCAAGATATCTAACCCCATAAATGTGCATTATCGCCCATGGTCCAAATGACCCAAAGGTCGAAGTAGTCCCGTTATCATATGCTACGACCCAAACTTATTGGATGAAGTAAGACCATTCGATTGAGATGGATACCAGATTGATGCAAAATTACAGGACAGGTGATCATTTGTAAAAAACAACACAAACTTACTATCTATTTTCAGTCTGGTCAAGATCCAACACATTGACACCTTGTCCATGTATTTTCTGTAAATCTCTATATTTGCTCAACTCAATGTTTCTTGTTCTCCTTTCTTTTTCTTTCCTTTCAAAACACAAAGATTTTGTGTTTCCAAGCTGTATACGTGATAGATTGTTCAGCATATTGACACAAATTGTGTTACAATTGAAGTATATTATTAAGAATATATCTTACGATGTTTAATCTTACTATGTCTCCCGGCATATCAGTTAAATTGATTATAAACTGCAAGATCGGCAAAAATAATTTTTCAAAATTGAAACCGGAAGTGACCTAATTAGATGGAACACAGTCCAAATATTTTGCAAGTTTGTAAACGGTGTTTTATCGAAGAAAATGGTTTGTCCACTTTCAAAATTCCGAACAGGTGCTTATAAAATATTTCTTAGTGGAAGATACATTAATTTATCCGTGAGGTATCTTACATCGTGATATGTGAGAAGGGCGTGGCTATCGTTACTTACCTGACCGATAGGTGGCAGGCGAGAATGATTGGAAAGTGCAAATTGACATATTCAATATTTTTTCGATCTGTCAAATTTTACGTGATTTCAGATCAAAATAAGAGTTATAGATGGTAGATTTTAGGTAAATGAAATCACAATGGTGACTGACAGTACATTAGTGGCATCTAAACAAGGAGATTTGATAGCACTTGAGTCACTGAATCCAACAGGTGAAGAAATTGATGAACTTGGGGCAAATTGTGTGCATTATGCAGCTAGGGCAGGCAATTTGGATGTTTTAGACTACTTGATCAATAAATGTCATCTCAAGGGAGACAAAAAGTCAGACATTGGCGCAACTCCTGCACATGATGCCACAGCTAGTGGTCACCTGGAATCTCTCGTTTGGCTTCTCTCTCACGGAAGTTGTAATATAGATGATAAAGACTCTACAGGTTCGACAATAGTTCATTTAGCAGCTAGATTCGGCCAAGTACGAGTCTTGAGGTGGCTGTTAGAGAACACAAAATGTTCAGTATTGGAAAAAGCACTTACGGGAGCGCTCCCGATACATTTTGCCGCAGCAAATGGCAATATTGAATGTGTCAAGATGCTGTTGGCTGAAGCACCTGGGTAAGTATTCTGAACTTTCATGTTCAGATGGGGGAGGGGTATATATCATTGAGATCAAACAAATCAAAAATACAATCGTAACTGATGAGATCGAATAGTCAATAGCATTACCATTATTGGTATTTATATGGCAAAAATATGGTTACTATACAGATACTCAATGATTGTCCAGCCTTAGGCCATATCAATTTTGTTTTTCTCTCTTTAGAGAAATAAGTTTTCAGCTTATGTACATATACAAATCAGACGAATATAATGAATAATACTCAGTTATTGAATTTTTAATATATTTTTGTTACGTTTTAGAAAAATATAAATAATATTGCAACATTAATTTTATGAATGTTTTGCCATAATATTTTAGACTGTAGAAATTCGTAAATTGTAAGAGTATAATTACCTAAGGTATAAGAAAGCTAAACAAGAAAACCTTAATTATATTTTTAATATCCTGTAGTTGTACATCCATACCACTGGTGGGACTGGCGTAATTGGAGTAGGGGGATGGGGCTATCTCCTGTCTTGAAGGACAGGACTAGAGAGACATATCTCTATAAAAAGTTTCTTATAGTTTCTGACAAAAGTCAAAATGAAAAACAGGAAACTAAATAAGCAGACTATTTTGTTTCAAAACAACTGAGAAAAGTATTTTTATCAGAAATTGGAACAAAAGTAGAACTTTCAGAATAAAGCAAGATAGATCCATTTTAGTACTTTCTCCAAATTAGATCATCAATATGCTGATTGCTGATTCTGTTTAAAAATATAAAATAAGCATCAATATTAGATATTTTGAAATTGTTACATTCACCCCAGACCACCCCCTGGCCTAAAATCATGCAGTTTTCTCCATTTTGAGTGATTTTTTAAAATCTGACCCCCCTGGCAAAAACTGGCTACAGTCTGCTGTCCCATCCCTAAAGCCAGTCGCTAATTGAATCTCTGTTTGTGATTTTAAAGTGAGTATCAAAGGACAGAGATATCCCCCTCCCCTTGTTCCAGGTCCTTCCCCTGCATGATACAGAATTGCTGTTTCATGGTTAATCATACCATTCAACAGACTCTTGATCATACACTTCAGTACTATACACATCATAGTTAAAGTAAATATATCCAAGTGTCCAAAACTATAATAGGTGAGAATTGAATTTTGAATTTGAGGAAGGGGGGCTGGGGGGGGGGGTACTTTGAACAAAGTAAATTCTTCTTTGGTGTATGGAAGGATATAGGTCAATTCCCACCATACTACAGGATATATATTTTCAACAACACAATATTATAAACTGTACACTGTTCAAGAATTGCCTAGTAGTATTATTTGCATGGACTTGAAGATGTGTTGATATTGATAAGAAAGTTCCCCTTTTTACACTATTGACATAGTTTGTACAGTAGTAATGTTGTTTTTTCTTTGAGTTATCAATGAATCATTATTATTGGATGTTGTATTTCAAGGCAGATAAGATGGGAGTGTTCTTTGATATCATAACAAATCATTTTATTATCTGACAACATGTATATTAAAACTATTAGAGCCACTTGTCTTTTGAATCATATATTTGAAGTATTAATTAGTACAAAAAGTTCAAAGTATCTTGAGAGAGGCTCAATAAAAACATTGAAATATATCAGAATCACATAAATAGAATATAAAAATTGTTTTATGATCAATTTGAAGATATAATATAACATTGTATATACATGTATACCAAATATTCCATTCTATTGAGGTGAATAAATGTTCATGTTTCCCTCAGCATATTTCCCGCAGCCCGAAGGCCATTGATATCCCAGCGAATGAAGTTTGTATGGATATAGAGGAACCATTCGTCAGTGTGTTTGTCAAATGAGTTTAGTGGCAACATACATTTTATATGATTAGTCAATGGGCTTTCAATTAGTCATGATTTTATTTTATTTGAAAGCCCATGGTTAGTTGTAAACCTCTCAAATACCAGTAGACAGTTTTTCAAGTTCTAGGTGACAGATTTTAATAGGTGTCTCAATCGTATTGCATTTATTGTCTTTAATGTCAAAGAGTCCTCTAGTATTGGGCGGACGGTTGATAGATAATAGATGATATATTAATGGAAGGATAAAGATCAATCCCATAAATATTTTTTATCTTTAATTTATCTTTCTTTTGAATTTCACTATAATAAATAAGGTCTGTGCAGGGCTTTGACAGAAATAAGTGTTTTATTACATTATGAGCCAAATGTTAATGAAAAAAGTAAGACAAATAAAAAGTGTTACTCCTTTATCTAGCTACAAAGTTATAGTCTTTATACAGGGTGTTTAAAAAAAGATGCAACCCACATACTTTACAATGCATTTTAACCAATGAAGGTTAAAACAATCTCTTTTGGCAGAAGTAAAAGTAGTTCAATGTCCTTTAAGTTGTCCTTTAAGTTTCATCAATGTAGCTTACGTATGACCCATTTGCTGCCCATATAAAGAATGTGCTCCAAATGGCTACCACCTCTCTTCTGACAGAATGGTGAATGTCCTTATCTTTTGTATTATCTATAGTTTGAGCTCTGCAATGGTTCTAGGATTGTTGACATACGCACTATCTTTCAGGATAAGAAACATATGTTCCAATAAAAACACGTGTGTTGTCAACAACATCACACAGAGTGCAAGTCTGTCTTCAGAAAAGTGGTAGAAATTTGGGGCAGGTTCTTTAAATGGCCAGCAAATAGAACATACACATGCTACAGTGATGAAACTTTGTCAACTAAAAAGTACATTGAACAAACTTTAATTCTGTCAAACAAGATTTGTCATTCTCTATTTGTTACAAAGATATGTATGGTTAGGTGGGTTGGATTTTTTTATGAAACACCCTGTACTAGGTGATTCATTTGTCTGTAAATACTAGGTAAAAAATAGGTAATGTGGAAATTAAGAATTAATGGTTCAAAGAACTTTAACTAAAATTAATTAAAACTGGTCTTAGTGGATCAACTTTGGTATCGCTTCAATGTGTTCCACTTGGGAGGTGTTCCACTTATAAAGGATCATTTAACATTAAGGCAATTGATCTTGGGACTCTCAAAAGTGTTCCACTAACAGAGTTGTTCCACTTCTAGAGGCGTTCTAGTTCACAGCTATTACTGTACTATCAAAATTTGGTCTCATATATCATTATTTGCTGAATATATAGTCGCCTTACTGGACAAATGAATCAACAGACACAACCAATTTTTATCGTACCTAACAAAAGGTACGATTTATCGTACCTAACAAAAGGTACGATATTGTAGTCAGCTTGACGGGCGGGCGGCGGGGAGCGGGCGGGCGGCGTCTCACTTTTCAGCTTGTCTACAGGTTTCCAGCCAAACCATTTGAGGGATTCATCTGAAATTTTCAGGGATGTTTCTACATATCAACATCAAGAATTGATTAGTTTTTGGGCATTCTGGTTAAATTTTAAGGTGGTCATTTTGGATTTTCCGTCCTAAAATCTTCACTTTCAAGACTTGTCTACAGGTTTCCAGCCAAACCATTTGAGGGATTCATCTGAAATTTTCAGGGATGTTTCTACATATCAACATCAAGAACTGATTAGTTTTTGGGCATTCTGGGTAAATTTTAAGGTGGCCATTTTGGATTTTCCGTCCTAAAATCTTCACTTTCAAGACAATTGTCTACAGGTTTTCAGCCAAACCATATGAGGGATTCATCTGAAATTTTCAGGGATGTTTCTACATATCAACGTCAAGAACTGATTAGTTTTTGGGCATTCTGGGTAAATTTTAAGGTGGCCATTTTGGATTTTCCGTCCTAAAATCTTTACTTTCAAGACTTGTCTACAGGTTTCCAGCCAAACCATTTGAGGGATTCATTTGAAATTTTCAGGGATGTTTCTACATATCAACGTCAAGAACTGATTAGTTTTTGGGCATTCTGGGTAAATCTTAAGGTGGCCATTTTGGATTTTCCGTCCTAAAATCTTCACTTTCAAGACTTGTCTACAGGTTTCCAGCCAAACCATTTGAGGGATTCATCTGAAATTTTCAGGGATGTTTCTACATATCAACGTCAAGAACTGATTAGTTTTTGGACATTCTGGGTAAATTTTAAGGTAAACATTTTGGATTTTCCGTCCTAAAATCTTCACTTTCAACAGGTTTTCAGCAAAACCATTTGAGGGATTCATCTGAAATTTTCAGGGATGTTTCTACATATCGACGTCAAGAACTGATTAGTTTTTGGGCATTCTGGGTAAATTTAAGGTGGCCATTTTGGATTTTCCGTCCTAAAATCTTTACTTTCAAGACTTGTCTACAGGTTTCCAGCCAAACCTTTTGAGGGATTCATCTGAAATTTTCAGGGATGTTTCTACATATCAACGTCAAGAACTGATTAGTTTTTGGGCATTCTGGTTAAATTTTAAGGTGGCCATTTTGGATTTACTGTCCTAAAATCTTCACTTTCAAGACTTGTCTACAGATTTTCAGCCAAACCATTTGAGGGATTCATCTGAAATTTTCAGGGATGTTTCTACATATCAACGTCAAGAACTGATTGGTTTTTGGGCATTCTGGGTAAATTTTAAGGTGGCCATTTTGGATTTTCCGTCCTAAAATCTTCACTTTCAAGACTTGTCTACAGGTTTCCAGCCAAACCGTTCAAATTTTTACATATGTTACACAGTGATAAGTTCTAGAGCTGATTAACTTTTCTGCGGCCATCTTGCTTTCTTGGTCAACAAGACCACAATGCTGTGTTTTAGGTACGATATTGTTCACGTCTGTGCCTTGTTATTTTTTTGATTTATGATTTTGAATACATAATATGTTAGCAATGTAGATGCTTTAGCTATTATATAAGTAAAATACATATACTGTATTAGCCTCTCTGCCATGCCAATTCAATAAACATATATATACAATATACAATATACATATGATACAAGATATAAATAGCAGCAACTCATGTTCAATTAATTTCAGTCTGCGGTATGTTACACACTTATGTCAGTGTATATTGTGCAATATGAAATGAAATACAAGTTTGTAATTTTGTGTATAACTCATATTGCTAGTACTGGATTATTGTGCTGGTAGTGGTATATATTAAAAAAAGTTGTCAGGTTTTCCTTTCTCGTTGAAATCTTTTAATCATCAAATATTCCAATTTACATTATCTTTTTAACACCAATGCAAGGATTGAACAAAGGACACACTATTTCAATAGCAATAGCATTTTAGAGGTACCAAGAGTGTTCCACTTAGTTTTATTGTATGGGTATTATCCATGATAAGTCATATTATACATATTTTCCTGAGACAGTTTTATCAATAGGGGTAGCGAATAGATTTTAGATTTCTATGTTGCATTTTAGAAGAATATGGCATTGGGGATACCTCCTCGACAGAAAATAAGATGTTGTAGATGCAAAATATAAGTGCTTGTTTGCACCGTAGAACACCGAAGAAAATTCATGAAGATTCCACTAAAACAGACAAAGTTATTATCACATTAGAGGATTTGTATTCAATGGGTCACCCTGTACTTAACTATGCAATTATATTAATGGGTACTTAACCGATAATAGATTACCAATTAGCACAGTCGAGTCCTCTAAATTATTAAAGGAAACAGAGAACATATACATGTATGAGTCATTTTGATAAGGCCATGTGCTGCTAAGTATTTAACTAATATAATGTAATTTTTTCACGATGTTATTTCTTGAATTCCGAACGGCCCAAATGATACCCAGTGTGTTAAAGCCTTATTTTACCCATTTCGATCAAGATATCTAAAAATTGATCGTTTTGTACACATCAGGGTTAAAAAAAATTTTTCAATAGGGTGACATGTAATTTTCTTCTTGAAGACTACCAATATCATAGCATCAATTTCAATGATCTCAATTGATATACAGATTTTCTGTATTTTACTTAAAAGTTAAAGTGACCTATTAAGGGTATATTTCAGCATATTGATTTTCAATAAACATTTCTAAGTAATTAAGGTATACGAGAAGGGGGTAAGTGGTGAGGCCTTTGCTCGATATAAATCAATTTCAAGCGAATATTATGGAATTACTTTACGCTATTTATTGTTAAAAGAAAGCGTTGATCTTCAGATTTTAATTCAACTATAAAAGTGATCTAGCTATGCCTGTTTTGAGTCATCCTGGAAAGATATATGGCTATTAGCTCGCAGTAATGAAAAGCCCATCCATATATGTTATATTTATGTGAATCTGCTTTCTTCAATCTATTAAAGATGGCGCTTGAGTACATTTATTATTTTAAAGCACAAACTAATTGCAGATTCATATGTTGGTTGATTTGATTTGTTAGAAGCCGGTATTTCATATTTCAGGATGTCAATTCTTGTAAATGACAAAAATATATAAACCCAAGTTTAATCCTTGATCCCCCCTGTGGATTTCTATTGTTTAAGACAAAATACTTAGTTCTGATTAAATAGAACAGAAGCCACATGCAGGATTAATTTTGATAGAAATATTATTTTTTATGGTAAAAATCAAAGTCAGTCAAAATCTAAAATCATCAAAACCTTAAAATGGATCATTTTACGTCATATTTTATGCTTTTATGTCATTCTGCTTTTTCTGAAATAATTGTGACATACATATAGTACATGTAATTACTGAACAATATGTTGTTTGATAGATAGTAATAAATGATAATGAAGTCAAGCTATAAGCATACACAGAAGTTTTCCCATGACTTAATTAAATCTCTCATACTAATTGTTAAAACTCGTTAAATTAAAATTCATTTAAAAAGTAATATACGACGTACATTGAACCTCCAAACATGATGTTATACAGAGCATTTAAAGAATTTGAAAATATTTACCATTCCCCATAGGTGAAATTTAAAAATATGATAATGACATATTCCAAATTTTGACATACCTGAGAAATAGCCCCCAGTAGGTAATTGACATTTGGTATTGATGTGAAAGTCAGGAGAGGACCTTTGTCACCTTAGCTACATAAAATTGTTTAGAAGTAGATTCTTTGGTTTATTTTACAGTTAATGTTTATAAGTCACTGATTATGCTGTTTTCAAGATTTTTTGAATATATAGGTCAAAGGATGCAATGATAGAACTATGGATTAATTATCAATAAAGTTTATGGCATCGGTTATAGGATTATTAAAGATTTGTTTGGAAATAAAAGATTATTGAAAAATAGATATTTTCTGCCGTATTGTGTCATTTTGAGCACATTTTCAGCAGGATTTTTATATTTACAGATCTGTGAATATGCAAATGAGCAATGGTGCAACCCCGGTGTATTTAGCATCGCAAGAAGGCAACCTAGAAGTATTACATTATTTGACTGAGAACGCACGAGGATCTCCCAAAATCCGATCGTTTGATGGAATGTCTTGCGTTCATGCTGCAGCTCAGAGTGGTCAATTGGATTGTGTGAAGTATTTGGTAGGTCTTCTTCATTCTAAGTTTACTATTGAAAATAAGGTACAAACTTGGTATATCTTACATCAAAAAGTGATTGACCTTTGAAATAGGATGGATTATTTGTTGTTGGGGTTTAGTTTAGTATTACATTCTTTACAACATTATGTTTTATGGATAATCTGAAATATTAGGAATTATAATTCCTATGTTCTTTCTCAAAGATTCGATATTTCGCAAGTCTGGTATACTTTTTATTATCATTTAAGATTTAAACATACACATGTGTATATGTGAGATAATGATGATAAGTCAAATAATTGATCTTATTACTTTTCCTCCAGGTCGAGGACCAGGGATGTGATGCCAATGACCGCGATTTTGATGGTGTCACCCCTCTGCATTTTGCTGCCAGTAGAGGGTACCCTGACATTGTTGATTGGCTGATGAAGCATGGGTCGAGGGTCATGCTAGACAATATAGGTGGCAGTCCGCTTCATGATGCAGCAGAGAATGGGCAAACTGAGGTGAGAATAATCACATAGTGATCAACTTATTGAAAGTGTTAAGTTTCCTAACTCAGCTAAATTAATGTCTCAATTGAAAGATATTTTTTCTCAAATTCCATTTGTTATTTTACTTTGAAGAGATGCATCTAAGGGACATACAGGTAGATTGCAATTCAAATTGAATGCTAGTTTCTGAAGTTACCAATATTTCCACACTTTGTTTTCATCTCAGTTGCATTTTATGTCACCACTGGAGACATATTGTTATTGTCTCCAATTTTTTATGGATGGTGTTCAGTGGTTGGTGTTCAGCATTCGGTTGTTGGCAGTTGGCATTCCCTAGTTGGTGTTCAGCATCTGTAAAAAATGGCAGGTGTTGACATTTTGCATGTTAATGTCTTGTTTGTATGTCTTGTATGTATATATTTCATAAATTGAGCGAACACCCAATAAAGTTGACACTAAATGCATGTAGAACATATCATAATAAACTATAATTGTGATTGTTTAATAGCTCCTCATTACACTTCTTTGAAATGTTAAAATTAAAATTACAACTAAAACGATTTGATAATGAACAGTACACACATTGAAGGAAAAATACTGGTGTTGAAATCTGATTACTTTTAGTGAGACAAAATAATAAAATTTTATACATAAAAATTCTGGTTGAAAAGATTATGTGGATTATACATTGATGGTCATTAAGTAAAACCTAAAATGGGTTAAACTAAATGAGAATTTATGATCAGAGTGCATTTCCCAAAAGTTCAATAAAAGTGGACATAGGAATTAATTAACATATTAACATGGTTGTATAATGACTTGATTGGATTAACTACATGTACATGGTTGTATAATATTAAGATAGTTGGAGCTTACTTCATTTAACATGGTTGGGGTCAACTGTATCATGGAGGGACCTTCTCTCAGAACTAAGCTTAAGTTCAGAGAAACAATATTTGAGGTAATGACTAGTGTTGTCGCGATGTGCCATAATCATACATCGATGCATCGGCAATTTTCAGTAGTAAACATCGATGCACATCGCGATGTACATCTGGGAACTTCTAGTAACGGTGAAATGAAAGTTAAGTAAATTTTTTATAGATTAATGGTTCATTTCGACTAGCTAAAACAGTTTAAAGCGAAAAAAATATCAGAAAACATTGGAAAATGAAATAAGACATGAGAAAGGGAAGCGATTTGCGTCAAAATAAGATAAGAAAGGGTGATATTTAGCAAATTAATTTTTTTTTAAAACATCGATGTTTTGTTTCAGACATCGATGCATCGCCAGAATCAGCTTTGGCGATGTATATCGCGATGTATCGATTAATCGCGACAACACTAGTAATGACTTCCTTGAGGTGGGAAATGTGTGAGAACTTTTGCTAGTGCATGCTCTATTATAGCTTAGCCTGTAATGCCCAAACCGGCGATTGGCAAGCTGTTTTGTACAATAATTACTGATTGAAAAATAAATATTAACTATTAATAAAAAAGAGTGCATGCTCTCTGCATATTACTGATTCTATAAACTGGGTATATCTTAAAGCTAGACCATTAATTTTTGAAAAAAGCATTTCACCAAGTTATCTTAAATCATTTTAGGTTGTATCCAAATTAGTTTTCAGAATGGGAAGATATATTGCATTCTGGGATTCTTTTAAGGGACAGTTAACTTCATGTTTTTATATTTCTTGGGTTTTGCGACCTAACTAGCTTTTCGATACATATTTGAATACTTGTGTATATTTTTCCAGTGTGTAAGAGTGTTGATGCAGCGTGGTTGTGATGCTCAGATACAAGACAACAATGGTGCTACAGCTCTCGACTTAGCACACCAAAGCAACAATGAGCAATGTGCTGCTGCTATCACAGCACACCAAAATGGCAAGGTGAGGCTAAGAAAGGAATAGAAAATAAGAGGCAAAATAATTCAAACTATCAAACAACAAGGGAGGGCATCAAATAGCCAACAATAGAGTGCATGCATCTTCCATCCAAAAATGAAGGGAATCTTTATTGTTTACAGAGAGTCAATAGATTTTTTTAATCATCAGGCATTGAGACCTTTGGTTACTTTTATTTGTTCTGAGTAAATTGACCCATTTTTCAAAGAAAAAGACCATATATGATGGTAAATGATTTTAGACAGTCATATCTTGGACCATGAGTATTTTCTCACCATAAGGCATAAATTCAATATGTCTCATCAAAATAATACTTTTCATCCAATTGATCGAGATCCCCATGATAATAAAACTATACATTTTTTTCTCTGAAAAACCATGGGTTGAGACCCTCCACAATTCATTTTTCAAAATATCTGACTTATTTTAAAAAAAAGATGCAACAGGAAACAAAGAAGTCCATTGGCCTAAATATTAAAACCATATTTTGACCACTTTAAGTATATTTCATGTAATATTTGTGCTCCTCCTGCCAGTTTTCTGAGCTTTGGGTGTCAGATCTGGATGTTATGGTAATCTTAATTGCATTGTAATTTTCTCATTACTCTTTGATAACATGTCTAGCTTCTGTAACACTGAGGTGTAATTTAATGCATCCCCTAATTCTCAAGAATGTGCCATTGAGATTTATTTTTGATCAACCCTCAAGGAATTTCATTTTATGGCACTCTCGCAATGAGAGATTTGAAAAGTTAATCCTATTTTCAATTCTATCCATATAGCATAAGATCAGAGATTGCTGCAAGTTATTGTTTCAGAGGGTTACGAGATATTAATTACATGTTTCATTTTTAGCCATTCGACATTCCACCTGTACCTCAGGTTCCTAGAAAAGATACCCCTAGATTACGCAGAACACCATTTTCATCAGTGCCAGGAGGCGAAGTCTTAAATAATGGTAAGTTTTCAATCCCATGCCAATGTCAATGCCTGCATGTGTTTGGATCGCATGTGATTTTATTTCTAGGCAAGAGTTTTGCTTTTAGAAGACTAGTACATTTTATTAAATTCATGGAGCTTATGAATATTATTAGCCTAATTATTAGCTTTTATTAGCCTAGTTTTATATCTTGTATGCGTTTGTAATTCTCACTGACATGAGTTCTTAGGATCTATGAAATATAATAAAACTAGAACATTTGAAACTAGGAGATTTCGGATTTTCTTTAAATATATTGGTATACTGGTATATGTATTTGATGACAAATAAGTTTAAGGGTGGTTCATATCTGGACAAATCTTTCTATTGTTATAAGATCACAGAGAAAGAATAGGACTTTCAAGATGCGAGAATAAATTTCCTCAATAAAGTATCTTGATCAAGACTAAGAATGATGAATAAAAAAATTCAGAATCCAAATGTGGGAGAGATGAGAGGTTTTAATGTTTACTGTATGACGATAGAGTGAATTACACAACTGTTTTTCCAATGTCCTTTCTAATAAGTTCATAATCATAAATATGCAAGTTGTATGTTTTGACACTTTTTTCATGATTAAGTTTTTATGTGACATATTATTATAATCTCTGACTTTTTGTGGATGGTGTTCGGCATTCGGTGGTTAGTGTTTGGTGTTTGGCAGTTAATGTCTGTCACAAATGGCAGGTGATGACAGTTCACATGTTAATGCCTTGTATATCTTTGTTGCTTCTGTGCTTGAGAAAACATAGTAAACTTGCATATATAAATTTTGCTTTGTTTTATAAGGTTTACACTGAACACTTGAATGTTAGTGAGTTCACAGGTATTTTATCTAGATTATTTTAATGCTCTACTAATAACAGTGATATAATGCATGAAGAATAGACACTAATATTCTGTACTAATTCTTATACTGATAGGGTCTAAGAATAGCTTCTTGCAATAATGGTTTCTTACAATCTGTCCATGAAATGTGGTAAAAGGAGGTTTCTGTACTCAAACTTGAAAGTACAGCACATTTATAATATATAACAATATGTATATTTAGGATATTCTGTTAACATTTGAAGGGGCTATTAACCTAAATATACGATATCATTAGATCCAATCTCTTTTATACTATATCATTGGATCCAATCTCTTTTATACTAGTATATCATCGGATCCAATCTCTTTTTATTTTACTTATAGTCCCGCATACAAGCCTGAAAATCATTAAGTGCCTTATAAATAAGCTCATATCTGAGCACTCTTCCAGGCTTGTATACGGGACTATTAATGTAAAATTTTCCACTTCTACTTGCAAAATAATTAAATTCAGTTCTGGTTATTTTTACATCCATAGGTTACATTGCTCCAATGATAAATATAAAATTGGTCCAAAGGTTCGTGAATTTCATTTTTATTGCAAAGTAGAATTTGCATATCAAAGTATTTTGTTTTTGCATACAGATGAAATTGTACAAGTTAAGCATTGCTTTTTAATCAGAAAGAGGAAAACAGTTTATCAATTAATTTATGTGAGTTCATAAACATATGAGACATGAGTACTAAAAGACATTCCAATACGTTTCAAGAAACGATATTGAGCAGGCTTATGGAAAAAGGTAACAAAAATTGGTCTTATTTTAATTTCTCTGGCTATATTATTAGAAGTTAGTATTCAATAAAACCTATATAATTGGAACACATTTGGTACCTCCAAAAAGTGTTCCACTAAAGAGGTGTTCCACTTTACAGGTTTTACTGTACTTAAAGATGATCAGATTTATAAAAAAAAGTTTTCAAAACTGACACTTCGTTCTAAACATTTTCTTAATTTTGATGAATCATTGACCATCAATCCTTGAACAATTTCTAGAAAATGGTACATGGAAAACAAACACACTTTTTGTTAGAGTTAATGATACAGCCTTTTACCAACCACCCATTAAATTAGACATAATTTAATATGTGTTGGATTTAGTGAAGCATATAAGACAGTACCTTACTTGTACATGTTCACCAGGTTCAAATACTCTCTTGTTTGATTTGAAGTCGTTCAGAAAACCTTATATTTCAGAAAACCAAGAATTAACTTTCCCTTTTCTACTGAAGTCAATTATCTGCATGTTTTTTAGTTTGCTAAAGTTTACAATTCTAAAGTACCACTAAATCAAACATGATGAATCTTGGAGTTAAATATGAAAAAAAAAAATCTTAAAATATCACAATGTTTTTCATTTTAAATTCAGTTTCAAATAAAGTACATGATGAAAACTTATACATGTATTAATTTGTCTAATTTATAATTACCTTGAGAAAAAGATGAAAGGTATAGTATCTCTCTTAAGTATATGAGCTCAATGATTGAATGCTTAATCAAGATTGGCCTTAGCAGTCTTTGCTTTAACACTTAATAAAGATATTTAATGAAGAATTCATATAGACACCCATGTATGTGATAATACAGTCATCAATGTTTCGAATTGCAGTGTTCAATATGATATGTGTAATGAGATTGAAATGGAATGCAAAACAGCAATGGGCCTATATATTATATCCAAATACCAGATTATAATCTATCTGTTCATATAGAGATATTTAATATGGAATATATATGGTGACATTCTAAACACGGGGGGGTGTATACTTGAGACATTAGATAGCTATAAGAGGGGGTGTAACACATGAATTGAAAAGTTCAAGTTAGTGCAATTTATTAGAAATACACATTAATTTAAAAAATAACACAGTTTAATATAAGGTTTATTAATAGGGAGGTCAAACCCCACAAGAATTTGTTTGTGAATGTTTATGTTATGACCCCCCTTCCCCTGTCCCCCTCTCAATTTGTTTTTTGCACTTGTTTGACTTCACTTCTTAAAATACAATTTTGTATTTAACTAGACTCTGTGTGCAGGGTAAGTTTTTCAAGGGCAATTTACAACTACAGTACTTCCATTATACCTTTACTCATTTGGGCAAGTAAATACTAGGAAGGGACAACCAATCTGTAGAGGACCAAAATTCTATATGTTCACCTAAAAGTTCTCTTAAAAATATATACCTTAGTGCAACAGTAGACCATTATTTTACAACTTGACATGAGTCAAGAATTCTCCAATACGCCTAATAGATTTAATTACATTTTCACCAAATTCAATCATTTTCATATGTTTTTCAGGATATTTGGTATTGGGAATAAAAGAGAAAACCAGGGTCTCATAGTCATATATTTATGAACTAATTGTCACTTGGTTACTTGTATAGTACTAGGAGCTCCAGAATAACTAGACAAATAACACACCAACCATGCAGTGTGCTCCATGGGATTTTTCTCTCTGGAAGGAAAATACTAATTTTCATAATTCCATGCAGGGTTCAATTCTGCCTAATCTGCCAATTTTCATAATTCCACGCAGGGTTTAATTCTGCCTAATCTGCCAATTTACATGATTTCTGTTTCCAAAATCATAAGTGAATGCAGGGCAATGCTGGAGAGACCATCAACATGGGTGTATTATTTAATGTCTACTGAAATTATATAAAATCGATTGAAATGTCATACACCCAAAAATAGTGCAATCATTACTTTTGCATTTCCTGTGATAAAAAACTTAATCATAAAAGATTTGCATAGAATTCATTATGGTTTCTTATTTTTGTTTTTAAACTGATAGTTAGCATTGTAAGTTCTAACCCTAAGTAAAAATATGTTGTTTATTTACTTGTATGAAAGCAAGTTAAACATTTTTCAAGTGTACATGCACATAAAGAACTTAATTTACACTCTAGTACAAAACCTTGATCAATTGTCGTTACCTTTAATAAATAAGGGCACAATTATATATTTCATAGAGTTTTCAAATAAGAACACATCCCAAAATTATCATTAAATAATGTTAGATATTTGCTCTTGAAAGTTGTTTATTGCCTATTGTATTCCATGTTAAGTAACTGCTTTAAAAAAATTGGAAGATTTTTCAACTTTTAACCTTTCAACCATTTCAAAACACAGAATATTTTAAATTGAAGTGCACTTCTTAAATGTTAAAGTGTTTGATCTTTGATAGTATGAGGTTAAGTTAACCCTTGTAAGTGTAAAGTCTTAAGAATATAAAGTGTCGAGGCTTGTCTTCAGACTTATGTATGAGACAATGAGACAGTCAATCATATAGGCTAAATATTGTGTTTTGACTGTTACAGGGGGCCTTGGAACCACTGATTCGGATACTGTGTACCATGGTCATCTAGATCTTGATGCAGTTGGTAAGTGAATCTTTGTAATAGTGAATGGAAAAAATGCTTATCCTGGGCTTGTCAGAATTTTATCATCCTATTCTTATGTACATTTGTGCATATTTTCATAGACTACATATACAAATACCAATCATCTGTAGTTTTGAATGTTTATGATTGTGATGGACAATCTTTTAATATATTTACTTTCCCCAACTTTGATATTCCCCTTTTTCTTTTTAGCTATTGTAATATTTATTTCAATTTAATTTTGAATACTCCCATCACTCTTTCCTCTATCAAAGATAACTTTAATGTATAATAGCATAATGACCAATGCTGCTTCACTAATTGATTTTGCCTGTTAAACTAGATGTAAATTATGTGATACCTTTGTAATAAAAGAGTAATTTGGTCCAATGAAAAATAAGCTTTCAAGAGGAAAAACTTTATTATTGAAATAGCTGAAGAACTGACAGCAACCATTACGTTTTTCCCATCCTATATGTATTTAATGAAGAGAGTAGTTGATCTGATAAAAATAATATGAAGAGAGTCTCTGGTAAATCAGGATAGACAGCAAATACTGAGAAATAGACCTACACCCCCTAGCTGTGACATTTTCAATGTCAAAACCTTCACCTGCTAACTGATTTCTCTTATCAAGGGGAAATAATATTAACTTATCGCTTCAAAGCAGTAATTAGGAAAAAATGGATGCCGTTTCCAATGAATCTCTGTAGCCTCTGTTATCACCTCTACACAGGGGCAATAAATATGAAAAGATGTGATTAGAATTGCATGAATTATGAACACAATTGTTATTAAACCTGCATCCCTTTATGGACTGTTGATAATTGGAGCCAGGATAACAATGTTGGTTTCATTTATGGTTTTTATATGGATGAAAGTCTGGTTTGGCCCTTATGTTTATTAGTGTATGATGAATTCATTAAATTTGTTTTCATCCAGAGAGAATGTATTGATATCTCCCAAGCATATCTCCCTTAGAGGGGATATATATCCTCTATATATATTTATGTACAGTGTACATGCACCTTTGCAGTATATACTGTTTATACAATCTAAAAGTCGACTTTGGAATCATTGAAAGCATGAATCAGAGATATCATTTATATCTGAAGTTTGTTTTTATTGATTTCAAATCAAAGCAGAACATAAATTAAATTGTATGCAGATCATTGAGATTACATGTGACCTTGATAATTCAGATGCAAATTTTTCTAAATGTGCAACTGGAACAGCTTGCAAAAGCAAATGTCATGGAAGACCTGAATTGAAAGGGCAGATTGCAAATTAAATTCAGAGTATGGAAATGTGAACTTCTGAAATGACTATGATCAGCAGGCAATCAGAACCTGTTGTTTTTCAGCCATGATACTTGGTTTTGTGTAGTCTTGCCTCAAGACAACTTCAACATCTGTTGATGAAGTAGATAAAGGGGTGGGTTGGGTGCGGGGGGGGGGGGGGTCCAGGGTCTTGAAGCAAGACTAGGTTTTGTGGGGCTTTCTGATAGGTTTTTGTCAGAGATGGTTAATGTATATGACGTCACACCAATAAGACGAAATACATGACAACAGTAACCATAAACAAAATACCTGAATTCTGATTGCAAAATGTCAATTGAAAGCCCATGGTGGTGGTCATATCAAAATTCACAATGTTTTGTGAGTTGTATTGGAGTTTGGTGTCAGCGTCAGCATCTGTAACATATGGTTACAGTTGTGTAATTGCAATCAGATGGTGACATTTTGTCATGTTAATATCTTGTTTTTCGTATCCTGGACAGTTTATCATTCTATTTGTACACTTTGTCATTGACATGCTACTAGGCTTTAAGGAAATCCAGTGTGTTACCACATTTAACCACACTTGTAAAGGAATACTGTATCTAATTAATTAATTTGAATAATAGAAGCGAAACAACTATAAGGTAGCATTAATACCTCACTTTGCATAGTCATATATCAGAGGCTTGGAGCAACATCCTTTACAACTAGACTGGATCAAACCAGAGACATGTAATAAACCATATTAGCATTGTATATTGTATGTCTCTGATCTAACCAGTGGAATTGTCATATATATATTGTGATAAGTGCAGTTTAAAATACCAGCATGCAATTGTGTTTGTTGGATAACATAGCCATATTAGGAACAAAACAATAGCTGTTGTTATTATAGAATAAAGGTAACAGTAGTGATGTCCATATATGGAATTGTATCAACAAGAACACCAAGCTATACTTTGTAACGAAAAGGAGTGACATTGTAACGCATAGAGTGTCGTATCATTAGAACAACAATAACAAACTACCTGTGTGGTTTATTTACAAAATCAGGAAATGTCAGGATGATAATGATGAAAGTAGTTTGAAGTGAGATGAGAGTACCCCATATAAGTAGGGAATAGATAACAGTGCCTGGACCAAAGACTTTGATAGATTTGTGAACATTGGAAATATAGAGAACAATAATGGATAGTTATAGATAGATATCTAGGTTGCAGTGATAAAAATGGAAAGTTCCAATGGCAATGATAATTTCATGGAGCTATCAGGTAATGTTATGTAACCACCAGAAATGGTGACATATTGTTATAGTCGCCAACTTTTTTGTGGATGGTGTTCGGCAGATGGCGGTTGGTGATCATTGTTCGGTGTCTGTAACAAATGGCAGGTTGTGCAGTTTTGAACTTTTCGGATTTTTTGTGGAAGTTCGTTTTTGTAAAAAACATTTTTACACATACAATATAATATATAATCTGGGCATGTCCTTGTGGTTCTTTTTTCATTGTGCTTTTAATGTTTGTTGGGTTTAATAACAGTAAAGTTTAATAAAAGTAAAGATATTTGGATCATGGGTCTGTCTGTGCAACATGTCACAAAATTCAGTTACAGTATCATTATTTTAGAGGGATTGTAATTATGTTTAAGGACCATTAACGTCATTCATATGGAACCTTATAATATCACTTTCTTCTTACCTATGCAGGGGTATTCACATGACGTATTCATAAAAACAATTTATATAATAGATTTAATGAATGGAATTTACCAAAGTAGTGCTAACATAACGACAACACCCCACATTATATCAGGAACTGCATGATACAGATGAAAGAGAAAATAGGTATAAGATATGTGGGTGTGTGTTGGACCTCTATGTGAAAGTAATATGATGACTAATGAACCAATTTGATGCCCAGCCTCAATAAACATTCCAAATTAAGATTATATTCTATTGATTTATCCATGTTTTCTTGAAGCTGTGTGAAAACTGAAAAAGCAAATATCATGAGTAAAATGGAGTAATTGAAAATTGATGTCATAAGTACAGGGTGTTAAAGTAACAGTACACATAAGTAGCATTTGATTATTTATTTCATTGTCTGACTGATTGGCTCTAAGAAAGCCACACTGAAAGGTAAGTTATGATTATGTGTTATCATTTCTGTTTCTATCACCTAGTGTCATTATTATCAAAGCTTTAAATAAATAAACATTCTCCTCTTATGTACAAATTCATATATCAAGCATTTTACAGTTTTGCTTTACTTTGACTCCAACAGACAGTACATTCAAAAGTTGGGAAGGGGATCTGGACAAATAAAATACAGGGAAGATTTCGAATACATATTTTACAATTAGAGTTTTATGACTTGCCTCAATTCAATAAAAATAGGAGTGGAGAGGTTATACGTTATTTGAATGCTGAGCTCTTTTGATCATTTTGATAATATGCACATATGTTTTGTGTGTATCTGTGACCATTTTTCTAAATCATTCTTCTCCAATTTCTTGACAATAAGAATAATTTGATGAAAATCATACTTTATAATAGAAACAGACCTACAAGTTTAAACAATAAAAAGTTGTTAAACAATTTGAACAGTTATTATTTGCTGCAATGGTGTTAAAATATGCAGGTTTAGCTGTAGTTGAGGTGTATTAAAGCAAAGTGAGCAAAGAAAGTTTTATCTTCAAGTATGTTATCTGCTATACTCTCTATTTATTACCTTTATTGTTAGGCGGTGTTCAGTGTAGACATGAGGTGAAATCTCTAGTTCATGTCTCTCAAAATCCATTAACATAAAGTCAACAATCAATTAAAAAGGCACCAAACAATGGTCAATTTATGGTACGGTTTATTGCATGGTAAGCAATTTAACTCTGGAGATTTTCTAGCTCCCCAAAGCAAGGAGTGAAGACTCAGTTAATCAAACTAAACCAACTTAGTGAGCTATTATGTAAGTAGATTGTTTTAATTGTTGAAATATATTAAATGGTACTTCAATTTCTTCAAATGTTTCATCTACATACACATTCTTTAAATTGATGTATCACATTCATATAAATGTACACTGTTCTAAACTACCTGTATTATATTTTAAATCTTTCTAACTCTTTCTTGCTATTTATTGCATCACCAGCTAATTTTTAAGAAGAATTTGAAATAAAGGAATAAAGAGGAGTTCATGACTGTGATTATGTTAAATCTGCTGAACCTATTGTTGTTTCTGCTTATTATGTTGTTTATGAACTACAAGAGGAGGTTTGTGGGGGCGATTTAGCTTTATCTCATCATTTATCAATGTTATGTTACATTCTATTGCATTCTTAACTTAATGAATACTTGTTAACTATAACAAACAGTAAAATATGATTCAGGTATTTTTCATTATTTAAACAACTTATAGTTTATTTTAGTTGTTGACCCTTTCTTCTTACATTCAGATTAGCTTGGACAGGCCTGAGTTCTTATAAAATAGACTTGAATCTCTAAAAGGAATTTCTGAAATTTTCATCGATTGTTAATACATATTTTTATTTTTTCTTTGTCAAAGATAGATCTAGTGATTATAAAAGGGGAGTTAGTAGATGAATAGTTTGAAAATCCCATCACAGGAAATCACGCGGTAGTATCTCTTCGGGACGTATCGAAACCACTCCGTCCCGAAAAACCGTTAATTTGAATTTAAAACCTACCCCAGTGTTTGAAAATCAAGA